TACACGCTGGCGTGAATGTGTTAAACACTGTTATAATATTACTTTTGTTTTCAATATTACTGTTTAAAACTTTATTACTTTTATATAAATATTTAACAAATTATTATATCAAGTATAATTAACTTTCTTTATTTACTATTTTTCCAAATAACCATGGCAATTTATTGCAATTTCAGTAATTGCAACAAACTAGATTTCAAAAACCTTGAAATTTGTGTCTAGTTTTATGTTTGTTTATAAATCTATGTTTGTGTGTGTGTAATTCTTTAGCGCTACAAAAATGAATACATTGCTTATGAAGCTGAAGATGACGAAGGAAGAATTATGGATCGTGAAAGTTTTATAGACGATTATATTCAAGATAGCTTCATTGATGATGCAACACAATATTCGCCAGACAAAATAAACAAGCAAAATAAAGGTGTTTTTTTTATGATGGTTATAATCATCTTTTAATGCTTGTGTTATTTAAATAGTTGTTTTTCAAAACTGTAAAGCATCAACTTTTGTTTTATAAATAGTATTTTATGGATACAAATCATAGCAATTAATTTTGTTTATTATTATCTTTTGAATATTTTTATCTATATATAATTTTTTTTTTTATTTATATAATATTTATATATATATATATATATATATATATATATATAATATATATATATATATATATATATATATATATATACATACAGTATCGGAAAAAACAGATGCAACCAAATAATGCAATAATTTAGTTTCTTTATATAAAAATGCTGCATTTTTTCAATTTAGAGAAATAACTATGTAACTATTTAGAGACAACGTTCTTCAAGTTTTATTCATCACAAAGTTCATTATTTGTACACGAAAATTAATAAATTAATCAAAAGTATTAAAAAAAGTTGATTTCCTTCTGGACAAAACAAGTGCAACTCCACAAAATGTTGACCATGCTGTATTTCTCTATCAATATTTTGTGGTGAATCATTTGTTGTCGATCACAGCCTTGCATCTTCGAGGCATAGATTTGATCAGGTGATCAATGAAACTTTGTGGAATCGCTGCCCAGGCCTTTTGGATTTGTTTAAACAGTTGATCCTTATTTCGAACACATTCACAAGTATTTCTGTGGTTGACGATCTCCCACAGGTTCTCGATAGGGTTGAGATCCGGAGATTGAGGCGGCCAATCCATCACTGATAGGTGGCTGTCTTGAAACCATTGCTTGACTACTTTTGCAGTGTGTTTCGGATTGTTGTCTTGCTGAAAAACCCATTTTATTGGCATATTCCATTCAGTATGAGGTAACATAACATCTTTCAGGATATTTTTTTACATAAAACAGCCCATTATTCCATCGATTTGATGTATTGGACCTAGACCGTTAGCAGAAAAACACCCCCAGACCATTACATTGCCTCCACCATGCTTCAAGGTCTTATGGCAGTAACATAAATCGAGGCGTTTTCCGACCGGTCGACGTACGCGGCAAATACCATCGCTCCCAATGATGTTGAACTTCGATTCATCACTGAACAAGACAGTTCGCCATTTCTGCACATTCCAGTCAATATGAGATGTAGCACACAAGAGTCTTTTCTTCTGGTTCTTTAGTGAAATCAGCGGTTTCTTTGCAGGGCGTCGAGAAAACAATCCGGCTTCGACAGCACGTCTGATTGTTCGGTCCAATACAGGCAGCTCTAATTGCTTTTGTATCTTGACTGATGATATCCAGGGATCCTTCTTGATGGATCTGACAATCATAGAATCCTCTCTAGAAGTGGTGGAACGCTGTCTTCCATCTTTGTTATCTGCTGCCAACTTCCCCGTAGAATGATGTTTGGAACATAGTCTTGATACCGTTTATTTTTTCACGCGATATTTATCACAAATACTTTTTGTGACATTCCACTTACGTAATTGGCGATGATTTTCTTTCTTAGTTCCAATCCAAGACTGTCGGGAGCCATTTTTGCACTTGAAGTCATAAAAATAATAAAAATAAATAATCACGCTTCTCAAGGCTTACCGTGTTACATTTACCTTGTGATAATACAATGATGCTCTTTGGAACACAACGTCTTGGTTGGATGTGGACTGTATTGATGTAATAAAACACTTGTTGTATTTCACTTCTTGTATTGATGTTCTTCGATAAAACACTTTGATAAAACTCACTTTGATAAACTATCTTGATAATACTGACTGATTGACTTCCATATACTGACTGAATTACATCTCAGTTTACATGTCTCTTATATAGTAAAATAAACCTGTGTGAACCTGTTCTGGAAGATTCTAGATGCTTCTTTTCGATGCTTCTGGAAGCTTCTGGATGCGTCTTGATGCTTCTGAATGTTTATGGATGCTTCTGGATGCTTCTTCTGTAAACTTCTGGAAGCTTCTGCATGCTTCTGGAAACTTCTGAATACTTCGTTTAATTATTAAAAAACTTCTGTAACGTTGGCACGGACCAGACTTAAGAAAATGAAACAAACCAAAAAAGTTGCACTTGTTTTGTCCACTGCAAAATGGCACTTGTCAACGAAATTCTGCCTGTGTGCTGTCACCTGTCAGCTGATTGCTCATGTCATGGCATGCTATGACTCCAGACTCCTGAACTGTTTGCTGTGGTAGTATAGTTCGTTTCATTTTTAAGACATGTAAAATTAGGAACACTTTTTAACAATGTTCGATGTTAGTTGCAAATGTTTTGTCCAATACTGTATATATATTTCACATTTAATTTTTTTATTTTTAAATAAAATTTTTATACAGCAATGATAGCTTTATTGACTAAATAAATAGTAAATTTCAAATATTGTAAAAATCAAACCTTCTTAATCTTTCTCTTCTAAACATTCTTGATTTCTTTAATAGATCATATCGATATGGACACTATTTATAAGAGATCTTTACTAAGCCCTTCACATGCTGTTGCTAATTCTTTACGATTCACCACTCCTGCTTTTAAAGCAGGAGCTAATCGATTTCGATTGGCTGATTTAAAAGAGTTTAAGTAAATACATAATTTTTTATTTCCACAATTATTATGTGTATTCAGCATTGACCTTTTTTAAGTAAAAAAAAAAATTCTTATTTAGAGATTCTGATCAAAGCTCAGAAGCAGAGGAAGTTCAAGGACTTGTTGAGTCAGACGAATACCATAGTAATAATGAACTCCAAGACGAACTAGCTGAGCATACTTCTAGTTTTCAATTGCCTATTTTAAAACGAAAGAAGAGATGTTTCAGCTTCTTAGATTCTGATAATGAATTCAATAGTGATGCTGACACAGAAAAAAGCATTTATAATGATAATACAGAATTTAAACCACCAGTTAGAGTACAATCATTAAATAAATCGCTAATTGCCAAGCAAATTTTAAATAAAATTGATAGTCAAGTTTGTAATAGCAATATTAGGTTTATTAACGAGTGTGATCTACCAACCATTGCATTTAGTTTTGGAATTGACTGGCATGATAATAACATTGATCAGGAATTCAATATGGTAGATTTAAATCTATTTTAATGTGTGTTTTTTTTCTTTCTTTTATGTTGCTTTGTGCTCTGTTATATTTATTTTCTTTGTTTATCATGCTTTGCTTTGCATCTGTGTTGCATTAGTTTTCTAATTTTTTTATGCTTTATATTGCGTCCATATTGCATTAATTTTTATGCCTTATATTGTTTCTATGCTGCATTAATTTTTATGCTTTATATTGTATTTATGTTGCATTAATTTTTATGTTTTATATTGTATCTATGTTGCATTATTTTTTTATGATTTATGTTGCATTTGTTGCATTAATTTGTTATGCTTTATGTTGCATCTATGTTGCATTAATTTTTTATAATTTATATTGTATCTATCTTAGATTATTTTGCAAAATTGCATTTTAAATTAAAAACTAAAGCTCATTTTTTAATTTATTATTTTGATTCAAAGGGAGTACAAAAAACTGCAAACAAAGCACAAGATAAAGATATAACTTTACAAAATGTATCACCTTATATTCTTGTTAATTCAAGGTGTATTGCTAATTCACAAGTATACTTTTGTTTCTTTTCATTCAATACCTTAATTATAAATTTTCATGATCAGAAACTTGTTTAGTTAATTATTTTCAGTGAAATACCTTTTTTATTAGATATTATCCTATTATCTTTATTAGATACCATCTTTACTAAGAAGTCGAGAAAAATGCTGTGTTGTAGTAAAATCTCAACTTCATGCTGATTTTATTGTGAGTAGACGCATGTTGGTTAACAAAAAATCATTATCAGGTGAAATTAAAATTCTTAAATACTTCCAAATATTTATTGTAAATAAATTTAGAATTTTTATATTTTTTTAATTGATTAAAACATATAAAAAATTTATATAAAATAAAATAGATAAAAATATAAATATAAATTTATTCATGTATATTTAAATATATATCTTTACTTTCGAAATATTAGTTTTTTAGTATATATATATATATCTATATAAATTCAGTTTAATATATATTTTTTTGAAACATGATTTCAACTTAACTATACTCTTAAATTTTTTTTCAACATAATTGATTTTTAGTTATATAAAATGGCTTTTGTTTAAAAATCTCAGTATTTGTTAGTTTAAGAGGTTGTTTGTCCCCAAACCCCATAAAACCATCCTCTATGAAAGTTTAATAATCATATGTTTTTCATGGCAATGCTTTTTTATTATTTAGAACTGTCATGTTCAGGAAATATATTGCAGCTCTATGAAAGTGTTCAATGTGAATTATTTGAAAAACAGTATCTAATAGTGGAGAAAGATGTTGCTAAAATAAATAACAAAAATAAATTTCAGTAATTTTATTTTTTTAAACTTAAAAATTTATATAGCTTTTATGTTGAGTTTTATGGTAAATGTTTAAAAAAAATTTTTTTCTATAGTTTTATGAAATATGCCCAATAAAAGTTAGTATAAAAATGAAACCAAATTCTCATTATCACCTAATAAATAACTTACAAATTCATCAGTTGGTATTTTTTTTTTTTAATAATTAGGTCTTTAAAATAACATTGAGTTTTAATATTCCTTTTTTCTGGGAAATTCTGGGAAAACCTTATTGACAAAAAAGAACAAAAGTTAAAATTAATCAGGATTTGAAATCGTGTTTGTACAAGTTAATAAAAGTATCAACAAAAATAATTGTAGCAAACTTCTGGGGGGTAAATTGATTTTTTTTTAAACCATTTTATTTTCTGGTTTTTGAATTGACTTTTTTAAATTTCATTTAGGGGTTACTCAAAAACCTGTGCCAACTTATTGTCTAAGTTTATTGGCTGCAACATAAAAGTGTTATTTAGCTCTTCACAAGGTTTTTTATTATTATTTTAATTGTAACTCATATATTTTATGATTTTTATTTTTCAAAAGTCATTTTTTCTAAGAATTACACAGGCAGTAAAAGTGACCTTCTTCAAATATCTTGGTTTTTGAAAATATTGATTAGAACACAAGAAAAACTGGTTCAGGAAAAAAAATTTTAAACTATTTTCAATCACTATCTGAAAAGTTTTGAAAAATTTTTGAACTTTTTTGGAAAAGCAAGTAGTACAACATTAATAGTTAATATCAAATGGAATCCTAGAGTTCTCTCTGTACTTAATTAAATATCATAAATTAAAAGTACAAATATGGTTTTTTTTTTTACTATTAGTATTATTATTAATATTTGTAAACATTCTTGGTATAGAGTCTAAAAATCTAAAAAAGTCTTTATAGTGATTATTTTTAATTTAATAGTCTTTACATTAAAAAAAAATGCTACAGTTTTCTTACATATAGCCCCATAATCTCAGAAGCTCTACCTTAAAATATAAATACTGTTAGACATTCAAATTACTCCTGTTTTATTCTCCTGCTTTAAAATCTCTCTTTATTACTTTCTAAGCTATTCAACAAGTGGGAATCTCAATCTTGTTTTCCTGCATGTTCTTCAGCTAATTTGTTAACTATTATAATAAAAAGGTTTTATTGTGGTTTACCATGACACAGATTGGGCACAAGTCATCTAATGCCAGCTGGGTAGCGGAAGGTGAATCTCTTAGAACAGTAGTACAACAGGCCTGTTTTAAAACAAAAAACATGTATTCTATCTTCTTTAAGTCAACATTTGAAAAAAAGGTAGGACTATAACATTTAATTATTACATTGAAAATTGCTTGAAGCCAATTTTAGTAGAAATAAAAAAGCAAAGACCTTCCTCAGGTACAAAAAACATTAAATTTCTTCGTAACAGCGATAGACATTAATATGCAACAACATGGGTTCTTACATATAAAAATAAAATATAAAAAGTTTGCTGTTTTTTTAAAATGTTTTAAATTCATATTTTCAAGTCATATAAGGGGTCTTCCATAAATTATTTAATACAGTATAATATATTTGAAGATAATGCATTATATAATATATTATATAACATACAATTTGCTCTAGGGAGGAGGGGGAGAGGGTTTAGTGGTTTTGTGATGATTTGTGTGGTATTTGTTACTAAAGAGTTATGATATTGTTATGGACAACCCCTAAGTCATTTTCTTAGCTATTATTTCTTTTTAAACTCAGTTAGAAATTAGAATTGTAAATCATTTTACAAGTGTAGCAATTGGCGTCTGTTAAATGTGTCTGAGCACGTCATTAGAATAAAGTTCATAATATTTTTTGAGTTGGTATAATTTATCATTTAAATAAAATAAAATTGCACAACATTTTGGTTTAAATACGCGTTTAGTTTACAAGTTATTGTAATACCAATTTTAATTAATATTTTTTTGTTGGTTATTTAACTATTTATGTAATTTGGGAAGGGTTATAAAATAAGAGACAGTCGAGTGCGGAGAAACAAGTTGAGGGTGGCAATCAAACTCTGAACTTTTGACTTACAAGGCAAGTGCTCTACCACTACCTCATGTAAACTTGAAGTTAAAAAGTTCTTTATACAAATTGTATTAGTAGAAATACCTTCAACCTAAAAGAAAGCAAAGAAAGCAAAGCAAAGAAAGGAAATCAAAAATAAATTAGTTTTTAAAAGAATAATTGAAACTTTGTGTAGTCTACTCTAGCATTAAAAGAGTATATATAATACATCTAATCTATCTAGTACATCTCTAAAAGCTATTGGCTTAAAAAAGTTATATAAATTAAAAAAAGAGTACAGAGTCCCATTTCATTTATTCAATTATTATATAAAAAACTTTTTTCAGTAAAACTTGATCAAACAATAGTTGACATTGTTTGGTTTGCTACGGTAGTTTTTTTGCTGTAGTTCTTTACGGTAGTTCTTTACGTTAATTCTTTTTATTGTACTAGCCAATGCTAAGGTAATTCTAGCCAATGCTACGGTAGTTCTAGCCAATGCTACAATAGTTCTAGCCAATGCTACGGTAGTTCTAGGCCAATTTGAGATCAATTTGATCAGCTATATAACAAAAATATGTTTAACTAATCTGATAATGCTGGCAGCTATTAGGGAAATCTTTCAGCTGAAACAAGCAAGAAATATACAATTATAAAAAATTATAACAAATCTTATTGTGGAAATAATGTGACAGGGAGCAGCTGCAAACTTAATCATAAAGAGTTATGAAGAGATTTGAAGATATAAACAAATTATGGTTTTGGCATTATGGTTTTATTGCTGAAGATGCAAAAGTAGCAGTTGCTCATAGAAAATGTGATTGTTATAAATAGCAATTTTGAACAAGGACAATGATATAAAATTGCATCAAATTGCTAGAGACCTCTTCTTAAAAAGATCATTGAAATAGTTTACAAATGGCTTTATTTTTCTTCAAAAATTCGGTTTATCACCTTTACTTATAACTGATTTTATAAAAAATTATAAAATTATAAACATCATCAAATTTAGTATGCATCGTTAAATTTTTATAAATATATATGCTACTGCATTAATAGATTACGAAGACTTTTAACGAAAATTTTTATTAATAATAATATTTGTAATATTTTTGTAATATTATAATATAATATGTAATAATTATTGTAATACTTTTGTTTAAATACTTGCTTCTTTATTGCTTTTAAAAAAACTCCAGTAATTGAAATGTTTAAAGTTATTCACAAAACAATGTGATTTGGTTGCAAAAATATATTTTACAGCAAAATATTTTATGGGAGTAAAAATCTCATAATAGGAGTAAAAGTTTAATATGCGATTTTACTGGGCAGTAAAAAAAAACAATAGCTTTTTTTCAATAATTGGTCAGCTTAACGTGCATAAAAATTTCAGCAAATTTGCTTAAAGGGATCCCTAAGTGCTATAAAGATATGATCTCATATGAAAGAGCATAAAAAAAAAATGTTTGATGTATATTATTTTTTCTAAAACGTAATAATGAATACACACTAACAAATTTAATTTTCAAAAAAACGCTTTTCTTCGATTAAAAAAAATGCGTCTTGTCCAAAGTTTATTGACTCTATTGCCTCAAAAAACTAACGTTTGTACGTCAAATTAAACAAAGTAGACAAAATGTCATTATTGCAAACTTATTAGTTGGTAATTAAATTTAAAAGTAAAGTCGTTTTTTTTCAACTAACACATAATTACTTACAAGAATAAGTTTTGTAGCATTTTGTAAAAATATATTTGTATATTAAAATCTTTTTAATAATTTTAATTTATATATTTGTGTTATAAGGGCGATTCCACGGCTAAAAATGAATAGAAGTCAAATTTTAAACTCTTTTTAGTCAGTTAAAAACAAATGAATATTGACTTAGACACATGAAAGTTTATTTAAAATATTTCCTTAGTAGAAAAATAAATTTATTTCATTAATTTTTATGGTTTTAAAAGTGACGGTTACTCTCATTTTTGCTTGATAAAAAAAATAATTATTGTAAAATGTTTTAGTTAAATTAACATTTATGTTGGTTTTGATAAGGTTGAATAGACATTTTATTAGAAATTAAACTAAGACAGGGCTCGAATTAACGCAAAAAAAATCTAATCGCAAAATTTTTTTTTTTTTTTTGCTCTCTTCCCTCCCTCCCCCCCCCTCTCTCTCTTATAGCACGTTTTTTTATAATTTATTGTTTCTTGAATAAAGGACTTATAAAAGTTTAAATATAATTAAGTTTTTCATTTAAATGGTTGATGTTTTTATTCAATTTTTCTATTTCAAGTTTTCCAATAAAAGATGAAACAAAAAAATTTGGTTTAATAAATCAAATTATACTTCATGTTTAAAATAAGGCTTAAAAACGTTAAAGTAAAAAAATTGCTGGTTTTTATTAGCTTTTTTATACTGTTTGAAAAAAAAAGCTAATAAAAATAAGTTAACTAATAATATATTAATTAATAATTATTAGAATTAATAATATTAACTATTAATTCTTTTTTATTAGTTTTTTTTTTCAAACAGTATAAAAGTGCAAATAAAAGTCAGTAATTTTTTTGCTCTAATGTTTTTAAGCCTTATTTTAAACATGAAGTTTTGATAAACAAAGATAAAAATCAACTTTTCAACTTTTTGCTTTAATAACCTTGTAAAAATTTTCCACGCAGAGATTTAAAGTAATTTAAATTCAAAAATGTTTTACGTTGAAAGAAAATCTCAGCGCGAAAGAGCAAATCATCTATTCATCTATCTATTCAGAATAATAAATTTTGTGTGACGTTCTTTATGATAAAAACATTACTTTTAAGAATTGCTAAAAAAAATGCTAAGCTAGAAAAAAAGTAATTAATCAACCAAAAAAAAACAAGTTGTGAAAAGACTAATCACAAAAGAAAAAACTAATCACAAAAGAAAAAACTAATCACAAAAGTGTGTGTAGCAATTGCGATCGCGATACGCTTAATACGAGCCCTGTAAGACTTTTTTATAAGTTCTAAACTATTTAAAACTATTACTTAATAACTTTTTTTTAATGATGTCTTTCAACTGAATGCTATTATACTGTTTTTGCAAAACTAATTAAAAAAACTTGATTAAAACTTAACTATTTATTCATGACTTTTTTTTCTTGAAAATCCAAGTAGATTTTCTAAAGTTGTTGTGACGTACTAACGTGATTTTTAACCACTAACAATTGAGTTTCAATGGTGAAAAAATAAAATCAAAATGGAGTTGTTTTTTAGTGATTTCGGCAATTGCTTTTTGTTAGCATGCATTTATTATTACAATTTAGTGAAAAAGAAAAAAAACTTACATATTTTTTTTTTTATGCTCTCATATGAGATCATATGTTAGGAGCACTTAGGGATCCCTTTAAGTTTTTATTCGCGTAAAGTGGATAAATATTTGTGCAAAACTGCTGAAGTTTTTATTCACGTAAAACTGACCAATAAGTAAAAGTAATTGCTTTTTTTTATTTACCCGGCCTATTATGTCAGTTTTTTTGTCATATTATGTCATATTTTTATAATGTCACGAAAATGAAAACACAAAAGTGGTAAAGTGGTAGAGCGCTCACTTCATAAGCAACTGGTTCTGAGTTCGATCCCACCTTGTCCCTGGTACCACGCTCAACTTGTTTCAATATATATATATATATATATATATATATATATATATATATATATATATATATATATATATATATATATATATATATATATATATATAAACAATTTATAATGTATTCTACAAAAAGAGTGCTCAATGTTCTTAAAAGAACAGAGCAATTACAAATTAGTAGAAAATCACTTGGCAAAATTTTTTCTCAACACTGTGTTTCATCAATAAAGACTCATCAGAAATGAATATATATATATATATATATATATATATATATATATATATATATATATATATATATATATATATATATATATATATATATATATATGTATATTAGGGGTATGACTAAAATGCAAATTTCATCTCTCAGAAATAGCATAGCAGCAAAAGATGTTAATACTTTTATTAACATAAAATATTAACACTTTTTTCCCAATCAAAAAAAAACTTCCCCACCGGCGCAAATAAAAGTTTTATTTGCACTGGTGAAAAAATGCTAGTGTTGAAGAAAACGCTACTTTCTTTTACGGCTTCAAAGTATAGATAAATTGAATTTGCACAAAGTTTCAAAATATTAGTGTTATCCCCTTTTATGCCTAAGCAGGGTAGTACTGACGGGGGAAGGGGTGTGTGAGGGTTTGTGTCCCCCCTCTCCCTAGATATACTATTCTGTTAGTTTCTGTCAATAAGTTGGTAGATTTGTGGTTTTGCCAAGTAAAGCTAAAATATGACTTCTAAAAAAAAGAGCCCTTTGTTGGTAAAATAGCTTTTTCCAGTTGTACCCTCCCCATATGGCCCTGTCAGGTAGGCTCATTAGATAATAATTGTAACAAAAAGACTAAATACGACGCTTTTATTATGCAACAACAGGGATGCGGAGTCCCAAAAAGGACTCCGCAAAAATGTTTTTAAAAGGATTTGAAAGTAACAAAAAGATTACTTCATCCTAGTTTTTGGTATCCATGAGCTCTAAAAGTATAAATAAGTTTATGGACTACTAATAGGAAAAAAATGAAGACTTCTAGGTTAGAGGAACAATCATTTTTTGAACCCGGAGTCCTTAGGTATAATGGCGACAAGGACTTGAGGACATAAAAACAATAAGTTTCAAGTCATTAAATCTCATGAACTTTTTTTTTATAGCAGATCATAAGTTAACAAACATGTTTAGAGCTTCTGGAAACTACAGACTTGGAAAAAGTAGAGATTTAAAGCCGAAATCCTTTTGGGACTCCACATCCCTGCGCAACAATGTAATCAATTAATACAAATAAGTCAATCATTATTAGAAAGTAGAAATAGGTTGGTCAGTATAGTAGCAGTTTTACATATAGGAAGAAGGTCTTGCATCACGTGCTGCATGCAATGTTTTTGAATTTTCACAACAATACCATTTTTGTAGCCTGTATTTGTGTTAGCTGTGTCACATATAATAATCTTAATGGCCTCCAATACTTCAAACATAAAACAGCCATTTAACCACCATATATTGTGTCAGCTTTTCCATTTTTTAGTGAAAGAACAGCAAGTCGAGTTTCATGCGTAGAGTTCTTAAAGACAAAAGTTTCTTTTTCTCTTTCCAGATGTTTACCATCAAAATGCAAACACCACTTATAATTACGAAGGCAAAAGTTAAAATGTTTTAATAAAATTTCTGCCTCTTTATATAAAGCTTTGTACACACCAGATTGAGAAGGCGTTGGAACTGTGTAACCATTTTTTTTTTAAATATCTATAACTTTAGATGCTTTTTTTGTTGATAAGTTTGCTGTTATCTCCATTAGAAGATATCTGCAATTTATAGAAGTTTTTGTCCTCTGTACTGAGCCAAACTCCTCGTACATTAGTTAGATCAAGTAATAGTGAGAAAAAAGATTTTGTCACCATCTGGTCTTTTCTGATAATACAAATATTTATCAATCACAAAATTTACTTTCCTTAATACAAAACGTTCACTTTGACACGGGAAATTGAATTTTACTCATAGTGCTTGTAACTCCTTTGGTACGACTTTAAATCCTTCGGTTTTTGACTTCATTCCAGTAGCAAGAAATTAATATCTACCATGTATTGTAAATTCTTTTGGTAGTTGGCTCAAATTTTCCTCAACTATTTAAATTTTTTTCTGTTTGACTGCTTTTTCAAAATGTATTAAATTTTTGGACCACACAGATGTGTTTTTATTAACAGATTTTGAAGTTTACAATATGCCATATCAAAAATAATAAATTAAATTATAAACAAAATGATGAATATCGTTATTAAATTTAAAAAAAATGAAGAATAGTTAGTTATAACTAGCGAGCAAGCAAAAAATTTTTTCAGTTTATAAATATATTTGAACATTGATATCATTGATTTAAGAAAATAACTAGATAGATGGTTTGGCTGTTAATGCCTTTTGTAAGTTGAATCTTGTTTACACAAATCAATTTGTTTTATTTGCATATGACAAAGTAGCTTTTTTTCAATGTTTGTATTTTTTCTTTAAAGTTCATCTTTTGCCGCCATTTCTGAGAAATTTGCATTTAGGTCATACCCCTAATGAATATATTCTCAAAAAAGTGCTTGCTAAATTGATAGTGATAAAAAGTGATAAATGAATCAGAGCTATATTATATTATAATATGTAGAAGAAACAAAAGTATATATATATATATTTATATAAATATATATATATATATATATATATATATATATATATATATATATATATATATATATATATATATATATATATATATATATATATATATATGTATATATATATATATATATATATATATATATATATATATATATATATATATAAATATATATATATATATATATATATATATATATATATATATATATATATATATATATATATATATATATATATATATATATATATATATATATATATATATATATATATATATATATATATATAATAGAAATTTAATTATAGAAGAAACATCTTCATTGCTTAGTGCTTTAGCCAAGTTAGAAGTTCAAAATGGTTATGCTATTTGTGTACCACAAACACGTGATAAGGTTTTTTTTTAATTTTAATTCTTATTTTGCAGTATAAAATTATTTACACATGATTCCAATCAAATGACATGTATATGCTTTTATAAATCATTTACATGATTGATATAACATTAATAGAAGCATGCACTTTATTAATGATTAATGAAGTAAATGAAACCAATTCAAGAAAAATAGACTGTAAATTGTCCGCTTTAGAATAAGATGTTTGTCTTTAAAGTTGGTTCAATATGAAGTCTAAAAATTATTTCTCATTCTTCACAAATTATGTCATATTCTTTACTTTTTTTCACTAAATTATTTTTACACATTTGGCATAAAGAAATATGGTTCTCAACATTTGCATAGATTTATGGTTCATTATGGTCAGCTTTTCATCATCATCATCATCATCATCATCATCATCATCATCATCATCATCATCATCATCATCATCATCATTATTATCGTCATCATTGTTTTAACATACTTGTTTCTATGCTTGGTGGATGTTTCTCATGATTGCACAACCTTGATTGCCTGTTTTTTTCTTAACTGGTTTTTTATACCATCTGTTATACCTTCTGTTATTCTCTCCATGTTTTACAACGTGCTGTAGTATATCTTTACATACTGATACCCATTTATTTGCATTTTTAGGCTCTACATGGATTTTCATCAGTTTTCCTAGCACATCTTATCAGGTACATCCACTATTCCCAATATTTTTCTGGCATCATTACTTTTTTCATATCATTTAGTATCACACTCTGCATCCATCTGACCATCTGTTTTGTTCTTTCAAGACACTGTAAATGATTAACTTTGGTTGCCATACATTCTGCCATCACTGCCATACATTCTGTTTGTCAATCTTTAATGATGCATTTCTTGTTGTTAAAAATGATAAAGTTTTTTATATGAAGGTAATTTTCTGAAAATCTCCTTCATATGAAAGTTCTTCAGTTTTACCGGTTGATCTCATCATCATCTCAATAGTTAATCATCAATTGTATCTCCCACCAAACTCTATTTTTTTACCACCATTCATTTCTCTTTTTTTAATATCACTGTATTCACCAAAAGTACACTTTCTACCTTCAAAACCAACTATTAGGAGCACTTCATATATCACTTTGTCTCTTGTGAAAAGATGATCATGATCACATGATCACTTCTCAGTTCTTCATTCTTAATTATTTTGTTAGGTTAATTTTGTTTTTCCTTAGCTCTTTTGCTTCTATTCCATTTTTTCAACACTGATATATTAGCATTAATTCTTTTTCTGTCTTTGCAATCAAGTATTAATTATTTGCATAGGATAGCTCCCATAATAAATCAACACTAAATTTTTTAGAGAACCTCTTATACAATATTATTAAACAAGAATTTGTCATTTTCTCCACCTTTTGTTTTAATTGCTATTGGAAAATTTTTATACATAACCATGTTAACTGCTACCAGCCATTCTTCAGCCATTCTTTTCTCTGTCTTTTTTGCCCTCCAACTTTTCTTCCGATTATTTTTTGGGTTTTACCTTTGTATACCATTAAATTGCAAAGAACTGATACCCACTCAACACCCTAATCTGTTAAAGTCTTTGAGACCTCATGGAAATTTGTATAGTTCACCAGATACTACTAGAAAGCTTTTTTTTATGTTTTTCATATTATTTCTAAATCAATTTTTTTTTAAACCTGATTTCTGCTATTTCTCTATTTTTTTCCCAACATTTTTAAAACTTCTTTAAATATTTAAATTTAAATAAATTTTTTCAACTTCTTTAAATATTTAAATTCTGATCATCTTTCTTTCCTTCAGATTCACTGCTAATTTCATATCACAAATAACTCATTTGAGCTGCGTAAGAAAAGCTTTGTATTACTCTTGTTTTACTATTTTTTGATATTGCTTTTTGATTAAGTCATATAGTCTACTTGGGTCTTTAAGCCACCTGAATCATAAGTTACTTTTTGTTAATCTTTGTTTGTAAACCATGTATTACAATAAAGATCAACAAAAATTACTTTTGTCGATTATCTGAAAATTCTAAAAAAATATTCTGGCTTGATATTTTTCAGGCCAAACTTATATAAGCTATAAGACTTATGACACTTATATAAGCTATAAGACTTATGACACCTCATTAGTTAATCTTAATGCCATTACTCTCTCATTTTCTTTTCACTTTCTCACACACATTTTTCTGTTAATAAATTACCAACACTTAACTCTTCTTTGCATCTAGAAGAACTTGTATCAACAATCATCGTATTCAATATTTTTAGTACTACCACCTTTCAGTATGTCTGTTGCATATAGAATATTCTTAACTATATGTTTAGCAGTTAAGCAGGTAATTTACATAATCGTGGGTGTGAAGACTGATAAAAGTCTATGTTCTCTTGTAAATTGAGTATAATATAAACCATTTTTTGATAATAATAGCAAGTATCTTCAAATGATAAATATACATTTAGATGGTAAAAGCATTAATGTGTATTCCTAAAATGACTTATCCATTATCTACTGAAGTGGCAAATCAATTTCGTTGCATCGCGGATCTCTCTAAATGGTTTGTCTTTTGATTGATATTAATCATAACAATGGTTATATTATTATTATAAAATTTTAAGAAATTATATGCTTAATAGTTTATTACTTAATTTGTTTTATATTTTGTATATTATTCTATAAATATTTGTTTTATAATTTTGTTGAATGTGTGTTGTTGATTTCTAATGTAATGTCTGTATTATTTAGTGAGACCTTTTCATTTAACATTGTTATTATTTTCATTTAGTAGCCTGGAATCTCTAAAGGAAATACTTTGTAACCTTCCTGGTGAACTCATCAAAGATATTTATTTTTTCTTTAAAAAGCAATTTGATATTGGAATGCTGGGGTCAAAAAAACTTTTATAAAATGTTGGACATAAATTTATAATGTGCAATTTTTGTATAAAACTTGTATATTTATTACATATTTATAAAATTAAATTTAAATGAATCTTGAATATGCTGTTTTTTTTTTATGAAATGCTATCAGTTCAAGCAGGTTTTTGTTGAATGCTATTGGTTCAAGCAATTGAGCCAATAGCATATTTTGTTGAATGCTATTGGCTCAAACAGGTGTTTGCAAAATTAAGGAAATAAATTATTTTTTGTTGATTATAACAACTAATAGTTGTTGACTAGTAAAATACTTTTTTAAACCAATATATATTTTTAAACATTTAATTATGAACTGGGTTGTATGTTTCATAGTAGTGCCCTGTCAATCAAGAACATCCAGCAAAAAGTTAAATTTTATGCAAAAAATTAAATCTGGTGTTGAATATGATTCCTAATAAGCTTTTACACTGGTGAAAAATTTTAAAAAGTTTTATATAAAGAATCAGTAGTTTTTAAGTCATAATGAACTTTATTTACACATTAGTTCAAGATTAAACAGTTTTTAACAAATAACTCAAAGTCAACTTTTTTGCATTTAAGGTGTTCTTGGTTGACCTAATTCTGCCCTATTCTAAACTTATATAAAAGTTTTTATTTATGTATTTATAATAAAATATAAAATTTGTTTATAAATTTATACATTAAAATTAAAATATTCATTTTTTTTTTAGATTATTTAATTATTCATAAATCCAAATATATGTGTTTATATATTTATACATAAAATATTTATATATTTTGTTATTTATATTTATTTATAATATCAAATATTTGAATTTTTAAGTTGAACATTTTTTATAATAATCAATAATCACTTTTATTTCTAATAATTGTTATTATTTGTTATACATGCCATAAAAAGTTTTTTAATAATTATAGAATAAACCTTTTTATGAATTTGCTTAGAGGAAGAAACTTAAATTTCTTGGCAGGTTACAAATATTTATAGTGTTTTAAGGTTTTATCATTTCTAATTATTTTTAACTGACTATGAGAAAAAAAAGTCTCTTTTTTTCTTTTATTTGAAATTTTTCTACCTTTTAGATAAGTTTTTGCCACAGATAAGGTTACAATGTAAATCTGTGCATACTTGCTTATTTGATCATTTGAAGTCACAAATCAAGGTTAATGAGTAAATCTTTGTTCAAATTTAAGTTTTTAAAAAGTGTGTATAAGTTTTTAGAAAAAATAAAAATAAAAAATGGAACAAAATTTTGCTGTGTGTAAATATATATATATATATATATATATATATATATATATATATATATATATATATATATATATATATATATATATACATATATATATATATGTATATATATGTATATATATGTATATATATATATATATATATATGTATATATATATATATATATATATATATATATATGTATATATATATACATATATATATATATATATATATATATATATATATATATATATATATATATATATATATATATATATGTATATATATATATATATATATATATATATATATATATATATATATATATATATATATATATATATATATATATTCCTATGATTTGACATATACCGTTTTTGGTAAAAAAAACTGTACTTAACAGTTCTTTGTGTTTAAGTAAAGCAAAATTAAGTACAGTTTATGTCAAAATCATTAAATTTAATTGAGGAAACTGATTAAATTTATTGTTTTTTAAAAAACCACAAAAGCGTAAATTATAAGACTAGAATGTTTTTATAAATAGGCATGGACAAATAGGTAAAACATGTAAGGAGTGTTGCTGCGTTGACTGACAAGTAGGTAGAACATGTGAGGAATGCTGCATGTTTAGGCAGGCAGTCTATCAATTGAAAAAAAGTTTATTGCTCATTTTGCGGTTTGTGAATTGTTGATTTGTATTGTTATTATTTATATAGTCATATTTCTTATATATAAAATATATTTAAAATTGACTTAGATATGGAGTTGTGCAGTAGAGAGTGCATACATAGGCTTATATATGTTAAAATATATATATTAAAATATGCAGAATATATGTTAAAAAAAAAAAAATCTATATATATATATATATATATATATATATATATATATATATATATATATATATATATATATATATATATATATATATAGCATTTAAACTTAATAAATATAAATGTTATTGACTAGAATATATATTTAAAAAAAAAAAAACAATAAAAGTTCAACACTTCATAGTATGCACTTTTGATGAAATGTGCAATTTCATAATTTTTGCATAACAAATCATGAAATGAAACAAATTTTTTGAAAACTTTTGCCTCTTTACCTCCTAGTTCTATTCTATATAATACCTTCTAGTTCTATATGATAAAATGAGGATTTCAAAAGTTTTAAAAAGTAATTTTATATTTGGGGGTAACTCAAAACCCTTAAACATTATAACATAATAAAATATAACATAATAGAATTAAGTCTGAAAAAGATGCACTATGTCTTCAAAAAGATCTTGACACAACTGTTAATTGGTCTAAAAAATGGCTTATGCGATTTAACATTGAAAAATGCAAAGTTATGCACATGGGCAAAAAAAAAAGGAGCCAAACCATATATATACATAGGAATCACAAAATGGTCATTGCAAACAACTTGAAACCACAGCAAAAAAATGCAATTTGAGAGTTATATAGTATCTAATAATCTTAAAGTGAAGTTACAAGCTTAGCACGCAGTTGCAGCTGGAAATAGAGTGCTAGAAAAGTTTAAAAAAGGAATCAGAAGTTGTGGGTTTTTTTTCTCTTTGGCATTTCCTATATACTACTTATATCGGATCATTATTAGAGCTTGCCCTCCCAGTTAGGTGGTATTATAGTAGCCTTATAAAAAATATTTTTAGTTAGGCATTGATTTTCTAAAGGACACGTAGTTCTATTTATACAGTTTCTAACATCAGTTTTTTTATCGCGCAAATTATGTTGGTTGTGTGGCTTGATAATACTACCTATATTTGGCATGCAGCTGTAACTTAATTTGACAGTGTTTCTGTTAAAAATCTTGTGAAGCTTGTGGTGTGCTGGAAATTGTAAGTTGATTAAGTTCAAGAAAAAGTTTCCTATTTTGGTGACAACGTTCTTACTGAAAGGTAGATTAATCCATATGATGTTTCATTTGTGAAATGATTGCCAAATTCAATGATTGCTGAATGGCATGAAATTTAAAATCCCATAAAAAAAGTTGCATTTTTTTCATTTGAATATATATATATATATATATATATATATATATATATATATATATATATATATATATATATATATATATATATATATATATACACACACACTGCCACTCACAGAAGTTAGTACAATGGGAATTTTTCAAAAGAAGTATAGTAAATCTACTATAGCATATTTATATGCGCGATTGCTCACTTTTTTTGCTAGTCTAATGTATATATATATATAAATATATATAAACATTAGACTAGCAAAAAAAGTATATATATATATATATATATATATATATATACATGTACTTTCTAAAATATATGTATATATATATATATGTATATAAATATATATATATATATATATATATATATATATATATATATACATATATTTATATATATATATATATATATATAAATATATATATATATATATATATATATATATATATATATATATATAAATAAATATATATATTTATATATATATATATACATATATATATATATACATATATATATATATATATATATATATATATATATATATATATATATATATATATATATATATATATATATATATATATATATATATATATATATATAATGAAAGCTAAATAACTAGTTAGATATATTTAATAACATAATTTAAAGTTTCACGTAATAGCGATCATCACATGTTATAACTGTAACAAAAAGATATAGCAACAAAAAAATAAATGATTTTGAGTAAAATATTATAAATACTATGATGATATCAAAGTTTTTAATTGATTTATATTTAAATTAATTAAAAACTTTTTATGGCATATTTTTGTGTTTATTTTTATGGTAGCACTTTTATGTTTGTTTCGTATATTGAGCAAGTTCAATGGTAATACAATAATGTGGTGTTTTTTTGTTACGCATATGTTGCAGGGTTTACTACCAAATTTAAATCGTTCTGATTGGTCTAGAATATTCCATGTTACGATTTATTTTAAACCCCTAATTTTATGCCATACAAGTTTATTTTAATGCCACACAAATTTAGAGTAGTAGAATTAGGTTTATTCTCATAAAGAAAAGAGTTTTTATGCTTAAACCACCTATATTTCAAAGTTTTCTCAGTAAGTCCTATATAATAATATCCTTCTTAGTGAGTTTTTCCATTGCAAATATAAATAAGGTTTTTTCTAAGGCATTTTATAATAAGTGGACATGAATTGATTTGTTGCCAATTGTTTAATTGATATATTGTTGATTCAGTAGTGTTCAAATGAGTGTTAACATTAAAACTGTTTTCTTTAATAAAAAGCTAATATTTTATATAAAATAATATATAAAATACTTATAAAATACTTTATATTCTAAAACTTCTGAATATTTTAAAATTTTAAGTTGTAACATATAATGATTTTCTTTGTTCATAACATTTGGTGATCATTACTGTGTGAAACTTATAGATATTAAATATATTTAACTAAGTATTAACATTATTTCTACAATATACGTGTATGTGTGTGTGTGTGTGTGTGTGTGTGTGTAAAATCCAATATATTATACAATATTTTTGCTTTTATAAAGATAGTTGGACCGATGACAGTGGCAAACTACATGAAAGAGGCTCTTACTAATCCAAAATGGGTTTGGCACTTGTACTTTGCTTCATTTGTTAGTTTTTATGTATTTTTATACTGTATAAAGAATTTTTTTTGTTTTTAACTGTTACTTAATTTTGTAGGGTTATTACATGAAAAATGACGTATTCGGTGCTAAAGGAGATTTTACTACATCTCCTGAGATATCCCAGATGTTTGGAGAAGTTAGCATTTTTATATGTTATAAAATCTGTTTAAAAGTGAATAAATTAGAAAAATTAATAAATGCTTTGTAGTTGATAGGAATATGGTTTGTTGCGCAATGGATACAAATTGGTAAACCATGTGGTGTTCAGTTAGTTGAGCTTGGACCTGGTAGAGGGACATTAATGGCGGATATTTTACGGGTAAACTATAGATGCACTAATTGTATTATCACTAAATATTTTTATTTAAATATTCTTATAATTTGAAATAATTAAGAACAGAAAATATTCGTAATACTTAGGTAATGAAACAATTTCCAGAGACTCTTTCCAATTTTGAAGTGAATTTTGTAGAGGTCAGTGAAAAAATGATTTCATTACAAAAGCAAAATCTTGGCATATCTCATGAAAAAAAGGTTTGCTTTAAGTTATGTGTTTTTTTTCCACAAATGTTTGTATTTTTTTTATATATCAGAAATATAAAATTTTATCAGCAAGTTTGATAATAAAACTTTTTAGATTAAAAAACAAATATTTTTTTACCTAACTAAAAAAGCCACTATTTTACCTAACTAAAAGATCCACCATTGTGAAGTGATTAGACCTCTTTGGTTATAAAGTTTAAAAAATTTAAAGGGTTAAGGTCCAATGACTGCTCTGGCAAAAATGACAAAGACAAGGTAGAAAATTTTTTATTAAATGCTGTTCCACGGTGCTCTGTGACAAGATCATCTGGTCTTTTTGGAGCACCTTAAAATAATCTACTAGCAAAAGTTTGTATTTTTTGAAAATCTTGTTACTCAAGGATTTACTTAAGTTACAATGTTACCAGTTTATCATTACATTAAGTTATATTAAAATAAAATGCCATAGTTGTAATCAACTCTCTGTTACAAAGTATTTAGTCATAATTACTAACAACACGCTTAGATTCTAAAATATGTTTCAATTTAACAAAATGTGTTACAATGAAATGCTAAACTAACAAAACTAATTTATCCATTATTTCTTTACTATTTTTATTATTATTATTTATTTATTTCTTTTATAGGATTTTTACATAACACCTAGTGGTACAAAAGTGAGTTGGTTTACACATGTACAAGATGTTCCAAAAGGTAAGGTAATGTTTCAACAAGTATTGATTAAGAAATGAATAGAACTTACATTAAACATACATTAAACTTAATACCTTGAATATTAGAATATTTTTATATTTTGTTTTACTTTCAATATATTTTTAATATTTCATTTTATTAACTGTCATTGTATTTCATGCATTCTTTTACTGAAATCATTTTATTTTTAGGATTGACATTTTATTTGGCACATGAATTTTTTGATGCTTTGCCTGTTCATTTATTTAAGGTATTAACAGTTTTTATTATTTTTTTTTTAATGTGCTGTTTTGAATGTTGATCTTCTAAATTTGAGAAAAAGAAAATAATATTTATGAAAACGCTCAGTGAATGTAGTTAATGAACCTCAGTGAATGTAGTCACTGAATGTAGTTAACAAACCTCTCTGAATGTAGTTAATGAACCTCAGTGAATGTAGTTGATGAACCTCAGTGAATCTAGTTAATAAACCTCAGTGAATGTAATTAATGAACCTCAGTGAATCTTGTTAATGAACCTCAGTGAATGTAGTTGATGAATCCTTTTTTTATTAGCTGGCTTGATTGCTTTATATATATGTGTATATACATATATGTATGTGTATATTTATACATATACACACACTATTGCATATCTAGCTTTGCATGAAACATATTTAAGCGAGCAAAATACTAATATAAAGTTATGTGACATTAAAATGGAAACATATTTAAAAAGCAATATTTGTTTTATTCTTAATTTTTGTTTTTCTTAAATGTTCAGTCTTACCCTTGTTATCATAGATAAGTTCACAATGTTTAGACTACGGCATAAATCCAGCATAAATAAGTTCTTGAGGGATGCTCCTCCATATACCTTTTATATTCCAAATAAGCCCTGTAATATTTTTTGCTTTTCATTTTTTTAATGGATTTAACAGATAACCCCATGTAAAAAATTACATAGGTGCGTTATCTGGTAAGTTTGGTGTCCAAATTTCAGGATGAATAAGTTTGATTTTTTGGTCAGTTAAAAATTTAATGGTCATTTTTGAAGAGTGAGTAGGTGCGGAGTCTTGTTAGAAGTAAAAGTCATTTTTTGGATATAGTTTTTTGATATCATTTTTAAAACACTCTCTGTATAGCTACTTGATTTAGTTTTATCTCCTGGTTTGACAAATATTAGAAATGTTAATCCTTTTGCACAAATTCCTCCCGATACCATGATGGATTTTGGAAAATTTTGTCTTTTTATAATAGGCTACTGTCAGTGCTTTTTGATATTTGTTTACCTAAATATGTTTGAGTTTTTGATCACTGTCAGTAAGGTGGAATAGTTTTTCATCAGTTGTAATGATTTTTGTTGAGTTTTTCTTAATAAATCTGTAAAGTTTTTTTGATCTTGTAAACCTTCTCTCGATCGCGCAATGTGATAATGCATGTACACATCCTTTTGAAACTTTTTTTAAATTAATTATTTTGTCAATATAACGTTTAGTAATTCAGAAATAGTTGGTGGATTGTCTATTATTAATAAGTTTTTCATCTGAAAAATTTGCCGTAAATTTAGCTTTAGTGGTCTATGTCAATGTTCAGGTTTTTTGCCATTAAAATCATCTTTTAATTCTCACCATTCTATAGGAATATCCAAGTTGTATCAACAATAAAATACGTCCTTTAATATTTTCTTGATTTTATTTTGTCAACATGCTTTGTTTACATAAATCCAGCTAACAACTTGAATGTGTGATTAAATTATATAGATAAAATAGTTACATATTTTTTAATTAAAAAGTAATCAAGTTATAAAAGTGTTTCCATTTTAATGTCACAGTATTTTACTTACTAAAGTTTTGAAATGTTAATCAAGTTTTTTTTAATTAAATGTCTGCCAGCCAAACTTAAACCACCAGTTGATGTTTTTAATGAACTCTATTCTGAAATAACCTATGACTATTTCAATATGACATCAGCAATAATGTGATTTTGTTTCATGCTCAGCTATGTACAGATTTATTTATATTTGTGAACCAGGCTAACCAACCTAACTACCAGGCTATTTAACTGTTCAATTAAAATCTATTTTAATGATTACGTGAATTGTTATTTAGAAAGTCAACGGAAAGTATCATGAACTACTAGTTGGATTAAATAGGTTTTACATATATATTTTTAACATTTTACTTATATATTTTTTAACATTTTTTCTTACCCAATTTTTTTATTTTTCTGTTAACGTTTTAGTACCCAGAGATTTTTTTAGAGAAAGGTGTTACTTGTACTCTTAATAAATGTCCATTCAACGATTATATACCATAATTCATTGTATGAATGATGGTATATAATTAAGATATCATAATTAAGGACCATCATTCAATTAAGGCCTATCATTTAATTTTTTTCTTGTTTCATATTTGACCTGAAGAGCATTTTTTATTCAGTAGTATTTGCAAAGAGATATAGGCATTAATATTAATACACATGTTAGCTTTTTTTACATTTAATAAAAAAACATATAATCCTAATTAAGGACCATCATTCATAATGATGTTCCAGAGGCTCAGGTGTGGCTTCTAGAGCAGGTCCAATCGCATTAACATTAATTACTGTGTTTTTGCACCCTCTTTAAAAATATGATAACAGTAATCCGTATGAAGATTGATAACCATATATTAACCCAGTGCAAAATGAGCACACATTGGCTAGTTTTGAAGTATATTAGAGCAGGGTTGCCAGGTTTTTTTTCGTGCACAAGCCAAAAATGAAACAAAAATAAACCAGAAATAAACCAGACCATAAAAAAAAGAAAAAAATCATAATTTTTTGTATCAAAGTCTTGTTTATAATTTATATTTTGAAAAAAATGCTTTTTTATCCAAAAATTCATCCTTGAATACTAAAATTTAATTTGTAAGAGAGTGAGGGAGGAGGAGAAGAACGACTTAGTGAATGTTTAATTGGGTGCCAGACCAGTCTTCAAAGTGGTGTGGGTAAAATATATATATTATTTTGCTTGCATATGGATATATATTTCTTTTCCAACATCTGCGATAATTATTTCAAAGTCCTGGTAAAAAATCTTTCGCCTTATTAAATATAATTTAACCCAAATGACTGCATGCAAGACTTAATTTGATATTTTCTTAGTCTGATTTTTATGCAGATGAGCTGTGAGAAGACTCAACAAAATAGTTAGAAACGGAACACATAAACAGCCAAGGCAGTAAACATCTATATTGCAGAGGTCTAGGTCTCCGGAAACATCTAAATGGGTTTACGAAGCAGTTTAGAATTCAGCGGTGTTTTTAGAAACTCATTTTTCTTAAAAGTTTTTAGACTCGCTCTAATGATGCAATGTTAATTAATTTATGATTAATGACGATTTCTGTAATTATTTTCAATTTCTCCACCTTTTGCATCCTTAAGATATAATTGTAAACTTGAAATGGCCTTTTCAACTTGGGAAACAACATTCAATACAGGCAGATTTTTCTCAAAAAATGTCATTTTAAATGTAAGAGTTTTCTAACATTTTTGGCAATTATCCAGTGGGCACCAGACCTAAAAAAGACGTCTTTTGAATGTTCAAAAGACATTCAAAAGACGTCCAAAACATATATAAGACATTTAAAAGACATCTTTTTTACGTCCGTGCCCACTGGGTAAAGGATAAAAACAACATTTGAATGACATTACAAGTAAAATTTTTTATCGTTCTAAGATTTTAACGTAAGCATTTCTTTCATTTATCTTAAACTTGATTGTTCTTCTATAAAATGAAAAAAATGGAAATCTTTCTTTCCTTCAAATTAACTTTTTTCATGAAAAAAAAACTTGATTATATTGATTTTTTATTAAATAAACCAGTTAAACCAGATTTTGAAAAACATACGAGAACAAACAAAAAAAGACCAAAGACTTTAAAATAAACCAGATTTAAGCCAGATTTTCTAAAATAAACCAAAACAAAAATTTCAAGCCAAACGATAAAAAAACAAACCAGATTTGAGAAATCTGGCTTAAAAAAACACCAGATGGCAACCCTGTAGTGGGACTGTAAAATTATTGCTATTTATCTATGAGATTTTTAAAGATCACTTATGCAAAATTGTGACAGGAATGTTGTCCAAACCACAAGCTGTAGAAAAATTTATGATATTGAGTAAGAATTTTTATCTATAAATTTGCTAACTATAAATTTTTAGCTATAATTTTTTATAACTATAAATTTTTTAACTATAAAGTTATGATATTGAGTAAGAATTTTTATCTATTAATTTTCTAACTATAAATTTTTAACTATTATTTTTTATAACTATAAATTTTTAAACTATAAATTTACCTGGTTCGGATGGGATGTGAGGAAGAGTATGGCCATTAGATTTAAAAAATGAATTTGAGAATAAGTAAGACTTATCTTTGATGGATGCAATAAGATCATTTTGTCAAAGTTGAGTAAATCTGATATAGGAAAAGTATGAGATAACAACAATAGAGTAAATCTGATATAGGAAAAGTATGAGATAACAACAATAGAGTAAATCTAGTATAGGAAAAGTATGAGATAACAACAATAGACTAAATCTGGTATAGGAAAAGTATGAGATAACAAGGCAAAAATTCAGGAGCAAATGTTAGTGATTTATGTATAAATTTTTCTTTAATAAAAAGATGGAAAAGCAAAAGTTCTAAACTTTAGTGTTAGAACGTCACTGATACTGGAACCAAGCCATTTAGTAGGATGTGCATCAAAGTTATCATAAATAACAATATTTGCAATTTGTGACTGTTGGAGTCTTAACATCAGAGGATGTACAACATTAAGATGCAAATATTTCAGTGCACAACATTAAGATACAAATATATACAAACTGAATTCAATTTGTCTTAAAAAGAGACAAACAGGTCAGCTGAGTTTTATTAGAAGTTAGATGTGATAGATCTATAAATGACTTTGAAGTTTAATAACATTTGTAGAAGATAAAAAAAGTTTTTTTCAATTTTCTTTTAGACCTTTTGATTTGTAATTTTACATTTTTTAGCGCTTTATTTATGATTTAAGTTTTCTAGAAATCGAGACTCAAACATTGTACTTAGCAACCGCTACACCCACCCACTTTATGAGGCATGTACCCCTAAACAATAAGCAATGCAGTTAACTCATAAACCTAAAATTGTAACAAAAACATCTTTAAATGACTTTAACAAATCACAACAAAATTACATAACAAACATGAACATCATACATAAAGTTTAATTTTCTCTGATATTTTACAGCTTTTGATAGAACCAGCCTTTGTGAGCTACCGCAGATACCAGTTATCAGCCTTTTTGAGAGCTACCACAGAAGTTGGACTAGATTACTATCATCTGACCTCAGAATTATTTAACTGAGTTTTAGAAATGCACCCTTAGGAGATATTAAGGGGTAACAAAACAAGTTGTAATGCTGTTAACAAAGAAGAACACAATTTTCATTATCGTAGCAAAAAAACACAATTTTCATTATCGTAGGCAAGAAACAAAGCTTCTTGCCTAGGAGGCAAGATAATTGTTATTTAGGCTTTCTGCAAGACATTGGAGGGATGCAATTTACATCAAAGATTTTTTATTGAGACAGCTTTTACTTAGCCAAAAACCCCATTTTTAGTCCTGGCCTTAACTAGGACTTAAAACGTAAGTCCTACAAGGCAGCAGGATAAAAATCTCTCGATGTTTCCAAGATTCTTCACTAGAAATTGGATAACATTAGTGTAGCAGGTTGACCTACAAATATTTAAATCTTCCAAATGTTATTGAAATTTTTATTTTTTTAAATTTAGTCAAGATAAATCTTGACATTATTTTTTTTAGCTTTTTACTTTGTTAAACTAACAATATTTTTAATACAAAAAGTAATTTTACAGTTTATAATATAATTATATTATACTAGCTGTCATGACCCATAAAATACGGGTTTTGGTAAATATATTCCACACCGAACTTTTCTATACTTATTCCTTACTTCAATATATTTTAGTAAGAGCTAGAAAAATAATTAAATACATAATAACAATACTTATTGTTTACTTTTTAAAGCTAGAAAATAAATTTTCTATTTCATTTAACTTTAAAAAACTTTTAACGTTTTGGTAGACGTTGCGCGAATCCCTATTTATCAACAAACTGGATATCAGTACCAGTCTAAATAATATTTAGAATACCCGCTTGAAATGTGTTAATTAAATACCGTTGGTATATAAAGTTTCAAAAAACATTAACGAATAACTTTCAATACTTTACAACTTCTGTAAACTTCCTCTCAATTTTGCTTTTAGCTGAGTTTTTCAAATTTTTTCATTTTAGTATGAGTGATGAGTGAAAAAGCTTAAAAAACAAATATATTACAAAAACATTTTCCTAAACTTGTATATGTATGGAAAATGTTTTGGCTGTCCGGAAAAATTAAAAAATGATAAAAATCTGAATTCCAGAAATATCCAGAAAAAGATAATTCCTGTTATTAGCACTCTGTTGATTTTAAAGAAAATTAAAATCTTTTTTGTATAAAAAATAAATTTGTCTCCTTAATGCGTACTCTTAATCTATTATTAAGCACATTAAAACCTTTAACTCTATTATGACATGCGCAACAAGTTTTTAGTATATAATATCTTTATATTTGATATGCTTATAATATCTATAGACCTTTATAGTTGTTTTACTTTGTATTCAAAAAATTGGAAAAGATTTAAAAAAAGATTAATTGTATTTTATCTGTGTGAACTTTCGTTCACACAGATAAAATACGAATTGTGGCGGATTGTGGTTTCAAAAAAATGCCTAATAGCGTTGTAAAATTAAAGATATTTTTATTTACATATTTATTAACAAATTAAAAAAGACATAACAATTTTTAATAGTTTTCAATTGTATGCCTATCTTGATAATACACTAACATTATCAAGAGTTTGACCTCTTGACCTTTGAAAAGAGCAATGCCTTTTCAAAGACATTGCTCTTTTCAAAGATTACAGATTAATATACTTTAAATACAATTGACAAAGGACTTAAATTATCTTATTATTATAATGCATGAAATAAATTAGCTGACTTTAAAAGTTACTATACTAATTTAAAAATAACATAAGATTTATCCTTTACTACAGAAGTCATCAAATTAAAAAATTGTCGATCTTATTACTAATTAAGCTGATGAAGCAAAGTTTTCGATCTTATTACTGATTTAGCATTAATTTAATTACTAATTAATTTTATTACTGATTTAACAGATTTAGCTGATATTAACAGATTATTAAGATTTAAGAGTCACTCATCGCTTGGTCAAAAATATGTAATGAGAAATATTAAAAGGCTAAGCATGCTTATAAAACTCTGTGTAAACGTGCACGAATAAGTAACAGCAGTATTATTTTAAGCAATAATGTATAGTGATAACAAATTGTAAAAACATACAATTAAATACAATAACAGAAAATTAAAAAAAAAGTTTTTTTAATTTTCTAGTTATAATATCAAAAAAAAAAAATTCAATTACTTTGATAGAAACTATTATTCTACTGTTGAAGAATAATATATAAATATTTTATTTTTAAAAGTTTTTTTTATGAAATTTAAAAATTGCTTTATAGGTCTGAAAATGAACTTCAGTTAGTTACTGCACCTGGTCCTAGCCCTGTTGCTAAAACATTCCTTAATTCAGAAACAAATGCAGATGAATGTGAAGTTTGCCCAGAAGCAGCAGTTGTTATGTCATACATAAGTGAAAATATTTCTATGTACGGGGGTTGTGCTATGATTATTGATTATGGAGAGTCAGACAGTCAGAGATTCTCTTTGAGGGTCTTTTATTTTTGTTTTTTGATTATTATCTTTTAATATTATGTTTTAAATTTATTCTGTATTATGTTAAACACATAAAAACGCCTTCATTGTTGGAAAAACATTTTCCATTTTTATAGGGGTATAAAAACCACGTGTTAGTTGACAATATATTTAAAAATCCTGGATCTTGTGATATAACAGCTAATGTTGATTTTGGTTTCTTGAAGCGTTGCATTCGTGGTGAAGGTATATGTATTTTTTTCATTTTAGATTAAAAGAACTGCACTCACATGTTTTACGTGCTTTTAAACACTAGTTTAAAAGCGTAAAAACATTGTAAAAAAGTATAAGTTTCTCTCAATGTTCTGTTTATATTATTTTTTATTTGTTTGAATAATATTTATTCAAGTTTTATTATTTATTTACAATTCATTTTTGTTATGTTAAATTTGACATGGTTATGTTGAAAGTTTATATAATTATGAAAGAGATAGGAAAGAAAATTTCACGGAAATTTTTCAACTCGGGAAATTTTCCAGAAATTTTTCAGAAATTTTGAAAATTTTCAAAAAAAGATAAGCTATTTTATAAATAATGAGTAAAATTTCAAGTCAAGTTTAAGCAGTTATGGACAATTATATTGTGAAGGAGATTATAATAATTTTAGAAAACTCCCTTTGAAAAACACTTTTTTTGATATTTTGTTGAGTCTTCCCAGGAAAAAAAAGTATATAAAATTTCTATAACATATGGCTTATAGTATAATTTCTATAGAGTTTCTATAGAATGTCTAATAATTTATCTAGAAATTGCTATAGAACTTTTTTTTCTGTGGAAAATAATTGTATATAAAAAGACTTGATTAAATATTTACATTATTTTACAATTTTTTCTTCATTTAACAACGTTATTGATTAACCAAAGTCAAAGAGACAATTTTTGATAAATTTGAACTATTTAAAAATATAGTTAGCAATAAAAATAAAAAACTAATGATTTTGAGGTCATAAATTCCCCCTACTATGTTTAAAAAGTGCTTTTATAACTTTATTTTCATTCGCCACAACTTTGCTCGGGCACTTTTGACTTTATAAATCAATAAATTAAAAAGTTATGCTATACTTTAAAATGGTTTAAATTATTTATACAGTATTTTCTAATGTTATTTTTATATAAATTATTATAATTTAACACAGCTTATGCAATTATAATATGTACTTTTTATAAAAATGTTTTAAATCCAATCTTTATAACATAAAAATTCTCTTATCTTTTTTAAAATTTTATATGCAATCTTTACACGTAAAAAATATTTGTTTCTTTAAAAAAAATACACTACAAAAATAATACACAATAAAACCTTTTAATCTAAAAAATATTTTATTCTTTGTATTTTGTGAATATTTTACATCATTGTTGAGAGAAGTAAAACCTATAAATATGTTATACACAAGTTCAAAAGACAAATAATATAGGTTTAACAAAAGTAATATGCGTTTCACAAAAGTAATAAACGTTTCACAAAAGTAATATACGTAAAAGTAACAAAAATACTTCTACGTTTTATTGCTTTTTTAAGAAAAATGTGCGTTTCTTAAATTGATTATAAAAGTTTGACAAAAAGATGTGTATTTTATGCTTGTGGGTCTTTATTAGTTTATATTTTCGGTAGAAATGTCTAAAAAATACCCAAATACAACGATGATAAGATGCATATTTTTGAAGCAAAGAAATTAATTTTATAAAACTATATAAGTTTATTGCAAAAAATAATTTTGAAAATTTCCGGAAACTTTGAGCAATATTTCCGGAAATTATCAACCCTATAAAACAAAAGAACAAATATTTATCAAATTTGAAATAAAGCATTAATTGTATAATTTAATGAAAAAACCATTTACGATAGTAAAATTATTTATTGCATTCACAAAAGCATTGTACTACTTTTTTTGACTTGGTCAAAAAAAGTAGTACAATGCTTTTGTGAATGCACTTAAACAAAATAAAGTTGAAAATCAAAAAAACATAATCCAAAAAAATTTGGATTATGTTTTTTTGATTTTTAACTTTATTTTGTTTAAGTGTTTTAGATAAAATACTAACCAATCATAAATATAAATATATAACAAACTTTAAACATAAAAAACGATTTGACTGATAAAAAAATATTTATATTAAGAATGATATATATATATATATATATATATATATATATATATATATATATATATATATATATATATATATATATATATATATATATATATATATATATATATATATATATATATATATATATATATATATATATATATATATATATATATATACAGTGTTGTGAAAAAGTTAAGAACCACTAAAGAAAAAAAATTATTTTTAAATAAAATTAGTTAATTTTTCTTCTTAAGATAACAAAATAGCCTCTCTTTTTTTCACACATTAAATAAAACGAGAAAAAAAAAATTTTTTTTTTTCGAAAATTAATTAATAGAACCTATAAAAATAAGGATTAAATATTATGTATTAATTTTTTTCAATATTTTTTTTGTGAAAAAGTTAAGAACTACAAGGAATCTTAACTTTTTTACAAGTGCTAAATGCGGTGGAAACAGCTTTTTTTAATTGATTTTTACCTTTTATAATTAAATATTTTATTAATGACCTGAGTCATTACCAAAAAACCAAAAGTATTTAAAAAAAAGTATTGCATTTCAAAAAAACACAAACTCTCTTTTGAAAAAATGAGCAGAAAAGCTATTACCTATGAAGATCGTGTAAAAGTAATGCATTATCACCAGGAAGGTAAAACCGCTCATGAAATTGGTGCTAACAATCATTAAAAGATTTAGAGAGACGAAATCTTACGTTGATCGCCATTGTTCTGGAAGACCGCATTTGACGACACCTAATGATGATCGCCTTTTAATCATGTCGTAGCATGAATTAAGAAGGGAATGGAAGCTTTCAAATGGATGTCAAGCATCGGCATCACTTGTGAGTAGGAAACTAATAGCTAACAATATGCTATGGAAAAAAGCTGTTCTAAAACCGAGACTTAACAAACAACATATAAAAAAGCGAAAAGAATTTTGCCAAAGTGTCAAAGAATGGTCTAAAGAAAAATGGAGGACAATAATGTTCAGTGATAAGATAAATATCGAGGTTGATAACCAAAAAAACCGAATTATGATTCGCTGGTAGCCTTGCGAAAAATATAATCTTGATTGTATCGTTCAAAGAACAAAACAAGGTAGCGGGTCAGTAGGAATATAGTACAGCATGACATATTATGGCCTTGGTATGTTTAAATTATTTGATGGTCGTCTCAACTCTATTTATTACGTCGATATTTTAAATAACAACTTGTTACCATCAATTAATGCACTTGAGCAAAGCGTTCCGTTCATTTTTCAGCAAGACAATGCACCATCCCACGGGGCTAAAATTGTCTCTGAATGGTTCGAAAGCAAAAATATTGAGCGTCTAACTTGGCCACCAAATAGTCCAGATCTAAATTGCATTGAAAATCTTTGGAGTTGGCTTGATAAACAGATTGCCAAGAAAGCACCAAGGAGCCTTGAGGAGTTGCGCAATATTTTACCAACAATACTTAGAAATATTCCTAAACATATTTTAGAGAATTTAATAGACTCAATGCCAAATCGTATAAATGATTGCTTAAAAATTCATGGTAGAATTACGCGTTATTAGGTAAAAATTACCGGTTTTTGTTCTGTGGTTCTTAACTTTTTCACAATTTTTTTAATATAAAAATTACCTACAAAACTTTAAATACATTTTTTTTTATTTGTTTAAAAGTCTAAGGCATTATTATTTTTTATTTTGTTTGTCTATTTCCTAAAAATTATTATTTATTTTTTTTTTACCAGAAAATTATATTCGACTTAATAAAAATTTAAAAATAAAAATTAATTATGATTTGTTTTTTTGGTGGTTCTTAATTTTTTCACAATACTGTATATTGCGTGACGTATTTTATGGACGACCCCTTATATCTTATCTATGTTTGAGAGCCATTGTCTGAGATATATAAGCAAAATAAACAAATTCTGGAAGTGATGTCTTCAAATTGTTCTCATTTTCAGATATTTTGTAACAAACAATGAAAGTTGACCACTGGTAAATTTTTTTCCAAAAATTCCTACTTGTTTCGGAGATATTGGGTCCCAAAATTTGGCCCATTTTGTGAAAATATTTGCGCAAAGAGTGCAATTGCTACTTTGTGGGGCAAATTTAGCAACATGAATATGACAGGCACATTTTTTGCTACTCTGGGTAGATTTCTACAGTAAAAGTAAAAAACTTTTCACTAATCTTTTACAACTTTTCTGCTAATCTGGGTAGATTTCTACAGTAAAAGTAAAAATTCAACATGGTTACATTTTTAGTTGTCTAGAAAAAACAGTATAAGTTATTTAATTTCCTTAAACATGCATCTTCCAATATCTGAAAAGAAATCTATGTGCTCAGATGATTAAAGGCTTACAGAAGTCCTAGAAATTATTTCACCAAGTTTTTATCTAAAAAATACCCTAGCAACGGTATAGATATGCTTAGCAACAGCTACTTTATAGCTTTAATAATTAGTACTGTAATTAAAAATGTTGGTGTAATACATTTTTATGAGTTTTCAAAGTTTTTACTGCGTTACATAAGAAAAAACATTAAGGAGTACAAATTAACATTTAACAAGTCTGTTGCCATTGCATCACTTCAACCTTTGTTAAGTACTTTGCTAAATTAAAAATGCTTACAATGTAATTTTTGTCAAGTGCTCTTGTACAGGTCCGTTATAAAAATGTATTACACCAACATTTTTAATTACAGTACTAATTACTAAAGCTATAAAGTAGCTGTTTCCAAATATATCTATACCGTTGCTAGGGTATTTTTTTGATAAAAACTTGGCGAAATAAGGCTACTTCTAGGACTTTAGACCTTTAATCACACAAACACATAATTTTTTTTGAAGATGCATGTTTAAGGAAATCAAATAACTTATACTGTTTATGGCAAACCTAAGGCCACGGTTGTTATGGGTAATTTCTCAAGGCGCATTGAATGCAAAAAGTGATTTTTGGCAGGTTACTTCTTCCCAGGTCCTTGCATGCTCATAAATTTTGTTCCATATAATCAATGTATGCCTTCGTGCCTTTCAAAAATACATAAAATAACTACATGCAAGTAATGGCCTTAAGAAATATTAGAGCTCAAAGTTAGGGTAAAATCTCATATTTAGTGGTTTCGGACCATGATTTCTAGACAACTAAAAATGTAACCATGTTAAAATTTTACTTTTACTGTAGAAATCTACCCAGATTAGCAAAAAAATTAAAAAGAAAAGTGTCTGTCATATTTATGTTGCTAAATTTGCCCCACAAAGTAGCAATTGCACTCTTTGCGCAAATATTTTCACAAAATGGGCCAAATTTTGGGACCCAATATCTTTGAAACGAATAGGAATTTTTGAAAAAAAATTTACCAGTGGTCTACTTTCATTGTTTTTTACAAAATATCTGAAAATGAAGACATTTTGAAGACATCACTTCCAGACTTTGCCTATATTTCTCAGACAATAGCTCTTAAAGCAAAGACACTTATTGCGTATTGGTTCATAAAATGTTAAACTTTAAATTAAAAATACGTCACGCAATTTTTGATTTTTTTATACCCCATTCCCTCCCTCCCTCGTCACAACATCGTAACACTTTAGTAACCAGTACTGTATAAGCGGTCACAAAAACACTAACCTCCCCTCCCCCTCTCACTTCCTCGAGCGTGACATAATTTATGGACGACTTCTAAATGTATTGCAACAATCTTAAATTTATGCTTAAAACATTGTTTTAGTGCGTCATTATGGACCCATTACCCAGCGTTCATTTCTCTTACAAATGGGAATACAACAAAGATTGAAGGTTTCAATTTTTCTTTTTGTGTTAGTTTTTTGTTATAGGCGTTTTTAAATAAAAATTTTTTGAAAACTCACCTCCTTTTGTTTTTAGGTTTTGCTGAGCACCGCTACTAGTGAACAAGCTCGAAACTTAATTTCTTCCCTAGACTATCTTATAAGTCCTGAGAAAATGGGTGAAAAATTTAAATGCTTTGCGTTGACAAACCTGTCATCTCCAGTACCACCTTGTTTCACCTGAAATAGCTTTTTTTTTATCATAAATAACTAACATGTATTATTTTTTTATCCAGAGTGGAGCCAGTTGTGTAACGCTATTGTTTATCTTATCATCATTTATATATATATATATATATATATATATATATATATATATATATATATATATATATATATATATATATATATATATATATATATATATATATATATATTAGGGCCCTGCGAATCGGTAGTTTTTGTTTCGAATCGAATCTCGAATCAAAGCAGGTCTTGATTCGCAATTCGAATCACGTTTCGAATCAACATTTTAAAGTCTAAATTTAAGCATTTTTTATTTAATAATATATTTCAAAATAAAATTAAAAAAAACAATAGTATTATCTCTTTGTTGATGCTTCTTGCCTGGTTAACTTTTTTTTAATGACTGATTAAAAAGGTATTTAAGGATAAATGCAGAATATCTAAACTACCCACAACAAAAACAAAATAAGGATTCGAATTTTCGAAAATTTTCGAATCGTATCTCGAATCATATTTTTGATTTAATTTTTAGATCAACTTTAGTTGATCAAAGCAGTGATCAATTTCGAATCGATTCGAAATTTCGAAGCTTCGCAGGGCCCATATATATATATATATATATATATATATATATATATATATATATATATATATATATATATATATATATATATATATATATATATATATCTAAGCGTGTTCGAAGTTCTTTTAATTTTCGGCACACAGGCGCCGAAAATTAAAAGGCGTCTATAAGATTATATGAAATATAAATTTTATACAATACGAAATTATATTTTTTTTAGTTTTTAATAATTTTTTCTTTTTTTAATAAATGAAAAGGCGCCTTCAAATGAATTTTCATTACCATAGGAATGTTAATTTCTATTTTTTTCAAAAATGTTGTCAGTTAATTTTCATTTTCACACTTTGAAAAAGAATTTAAATTTTAAAAGTGAATTTGAATTATAAACTCACTGTAAGTGAATTTGAATTATAATACTGTAAAAATTAAATATTAAAAATTATTTGCTGTAACATGGATCGGAAACGGAAATTGTCTGGTTGGTAAAACAAACAAAATAAGGAAAACAGGCTGAAAGAGCAGTTTAAAAATCAAAAAACGTTGAACAGCTTTCTGCAAGTTAGGCAAAATGAAGACATTTCTGATAAGATAGTTGAAGAAATCGATACGGGAGTTTGATGAATATATTGTAACTGGTGAAAAGCCTCTATCTGAAACTGACGAAACTAACGTTAATGTTGAATTAAATGCTAGCACTAGTACAGCTATTCAAGATGAATGTTTAAGTAGTGAGGTAGAAAAAAGTTCTGAGAATATATCTAGCTGTAATGATTTTTGTGATATAACGGATTGGCTGGAACATTGGCAGAATTTGCAAATTCAAAATATAGTTTCCAAAGGTCCAATACAAGCTAATATTAACCAGTACCCAAAAGACAGTTTGAATAGATCATTTAACAAAATACATTTTCATCGAAAAACAGCAAATGGTGAATTATTTAAAAGAACCTGGCTTGTATATTCATCCAAAATAGATCGGGTGTTCTGTTTTGTTGTAAAATATTTAGTAGCGATGAATTTGCCTTATCAAAAAGAGGAACAAATAATTGGAGCCACATTTTTAAAAAGTACTGAGTATTTTCAATGCTATGGAAAGTGGATTGAGCTTAAAAAACGGCTTTCTTGTGGTCAAGCCTTTGATTGTCTAGCTAATAAATTATACTTGAGTGAAGTAGAACATTGGGATGAAGTGCTCAAGCGAATAATCTCAATTATTTTAATGATGGTCTCAGAAAATATTGCATTTCAGAAAATATTGCATTCAGACAATATTCACCGAAAATAATGGTAAATTTTTTTAAATTGTTGAGTTGTTTTCAAAGTTTGATCCGGTGTTAAAAAAACATGTTAATTGAGCAGTAAAAAATCCAAAAAAGCTTTATTACTTGGTAAAAAATATCCAGCAAGAAATTATTTTATTGATCGCTAAAGCTACAAAGGATAATATTTTGGAAATGGTAAAAAATGCAATGTATTTTTCCTTTATTGTAGACTGTACACCTGATGCCAGCCATAAAGAATAAATGTCAATTGTTCTGCGTTACGTCCACATAACAAAATCAACCGAAGGTAATAATGCTAGTTTTGGAATTTATTAACATTTTGGATTCAACCAGAGCAAAGATGACCGAAGAAATATTAACTTTTTTGACACAAAATAGCTTATCAATTATGAATTTTCGTGGTCAAGACTACGATAATGGAGCCAAAGCATTGGCATATTTTCATATCCATGTGTTGTAGATTTACAGTAAAATCATTAAGTGATACACGATTGGACAACCATGTGTGTGTGTGTATATATATATATATATATATATATATATATATATATATATATATATATATATATATATATATATATATATATATATATATATATATAACAATACAGAAATAGTTTTATGTAAAAAAGAACTTGCAATAACATTCAATGAATGTTGTGATTATTGTTTTTTTATGATTACATTAGCAGTTGATCACTGCTTTGATCAACTAAAGCTGAAAAACCGTTGAAAACGAGTTATAAAGCGCATCAATTTTTATTTTTTACACTTTTGAAAAACATTTAAAAATGAATAGTTCTAAACTTTATATAGTTGTCAAAACAATATTTCTATCAATTTTCACAAAAAATACTAGAATTCCGACCAAGAAAGAGCTTATAATTATGGAAAATTGCCAATAAACAATCAGAACAGATCATATTGTTCTGATTGTTTATTGGCAATTTTCAAAACGTATTAATATAAATTTTTTTTCAAATTTAGACAAGCGATTGTGATATTAAGATCAATTTTTTTTTAAAAAAAAAAGGTATCTTCGGTCTGGGTTTTTTCGCTACAAACATTTATATTTTATGATAACGCAAAATTTATGATTTAAATATTTTTCGTCTTTTCATAATTCAGAGATCAAACCATTTAACAGAAATATGTCGTAGTCAACAAAATATCATACAAACGCTATAATATTTTAAAAGTGCCTTAACTACACCGAGCAGCCAGATTTGTTTGCCAGGCAAAAATGTCGGAACCGTAAAAAAATTAAAATAACAAAACAAAAAGATATTTTTGTCGCTTTGAGTAGAAATATTTAAAAGTTAGTAGAATTGAACCTGCCATTTTGAAAAGGGTACAAGTCCATTTATTATAATTTTTTCAAAATTAACAAAAACATGATTTTTAATAAAATAATGCCTTCGCGGCTAAAGAAGTTAAATATGAAAGTAGATAAGAACAGCCGTGGCGCAGAGTTCTGGCTCAGAACTCAGAGGTCTGAGGTTCGACGCCGGCTCTAGTCCAATAAGTGATATTGTTAAGGAGAGCATTTAACCAGAAGTCAAATCAAAGAGATATGTGGTAGTTTTATCCATATTTATCCTACATATGATCATCCTATATATTACATCCCAGATGCTTGTCATATGCTAAAATTAGCTCGAAACGCTGAACGTAGCACTGGCATCTTTGTTAATAAACAAAATTGATATATAAAGTGGGACCACACAGAGTCGCCGAGAGCTGTCACGCCGCCTGGAACAGCAATCCTGATTGGCGCCCTTATTTATCAAATTTTTCTTATATTATGTATGAAAGCCCTTTTTTTTTTTAGGTATTTAAATTTCACTTGGCGCCCCTTGGAAATTTGCCACCCGGGACAAACTGTCCCGGTGCCCCCTCTCGGCGGCCCTGGGACCACATTAAAGCATTGCACAAACTATAAGAAGAAGAATTAAAAATTGGAAATAAACTAGGCAGTTATTATATTGACTTTCATAGACAGAAAATGAATGGTAAAATTGCAGCTAAGACACTAAGTGCTTCAATTGCCGATGCTATTGAATTTTCGATTGTTTCCGGTCATCCAACTTTTCTAGATGTTCAAGGCACAGTTAATTTCATTAGAACTTTAGGTAAACTTTTTGATTTGCTAAACTCAAAAAACTTTTTTAAAAAAGGATCAAAAAAACCTCTGTTTTTAAATGAAGCACCAAATTTGGTTGAGACCATAAAGAAATCTGTAAAATATTTAATAAATTTATCAGACATATCTAAAACTCCTTTAATTAAAAACAGAAGAAAGACTAAAATTTTATTGTAGCAGCCACGAGTATTAGAGATTTATCACTTAACCATTTATCAAGAGTTGAGAATTCTTTTAAATTTGTTTTGAAATATAAAATGTCACAAGTTCACATTGAATTGTTATTTGCTTGAATTCGTGGAGAAAATGGTTTCAATAATAATCCAGATGCAGGTCAACTAAAATCTGCTTTAAAAAGAATTTTATAAAGAAACTCTATCATAGGATCAAAATTTAGCAACTTTCTTACTTTTGACCAAAGTTCTTCTGGGTCAATCTTTTTGTGGAGTAAAAGGAGATCTCCTCTTATTGAATAAAATAAATTATCTAGTGAGAACTCAAACTATATAAGAGACTTTGCTGGTTGCCTCTCACCATTCTCTCACCATTCTTCTGTTTATAAAAAAGCTATACTTGGGTATATTGCAGGGCTTATTGTTAGAAAACTTTATAGTAAAATTACATGTCTGACAAGTGCAAATAGTTTGATTTCTCCACAGGCTTTGTCAATAGATCATCAATACTCCATATTTTGCAGTTCACCATGGAAACATGGAAATCACCATGGAACCATGGAAAAGTTTTATAACTTTTAAAAATCGTGGTTGTTAAATATTTCCATCCTATAATGTTTTTAAGATTATTGAAAAATGTGAGCACGTTTTTAATGTTTTGGTGTGTGGTACAAATCCATACATATTCGAGAAGTAAATATAAAGTATTAAAATAGTGTACTTCATAAATCAACAACTTGCAAATGATGCACTGTTTCCTGAATTAAATATGCACGATTTAGAACATGAGATTTTGTACACTAGTCAATTGTACACTAGAAAGAAATTGCATAGAGGAATGTATTGGATTACGGCAACAGTCCAATAAGCTTGTTTTATTTAAAGGTTTATTAAAAATATGTAATACTATTTTTATTTTATTTGTGTCAAAAAATAAAATAACTTCTCTATAAAATAGTTTTTTTATTAATGAAAATTCCATATAATCTTCTATATTTGTTTTTATTTAAAAATAATTGAATTTTTTATATTGAAAACCCGCATTAGTAATAAAAAATATATACCTCATCATTTATACCAACATTTATACCATAATTAAATGTATATATTTTTTATAACAATAACTCAAAATTTTCCCACAGAATACTTTTAAGTTATAGTTGTAAAAGTAAAAAACATGCGTATAGCCAAACTAAAACTCTTAAGTATTTTTTTATGTACTAATGCTTTTGAAAACAGTTTAATGTACAAAATGAATTTATCTACAAAATAAAGGTTTCATTTTTATTTATTTACTTTTTTTTTTTTTAATGAGACCGTTTACCGGTAACAAATTTAAAAAAATTGCTTCAGTTTTTTTAACGGAATTTTTGCGAAGTTAGACATCTAGTTAAATATATATCATTGGTTTCCACTAATCTACGATTCTACGGGAGCATGAAAGGGAAGTGAAAAATAATCACTCGAGCATGTGTTGTTTTGCTTCAGACAAATTTAAATTTTCTTTTTTCAGAAAAATGATGACCTTTACGCCATCATATGAATCAAGTGGGGCTATCATTTATTAGCACATCTGACCTGCTTTAAACTTTCTTTTCGGAAATGTGTGATAGGGCTTAAAATCTATTTATGAATAATTATCCTATTTAAAGCAGTTCTCACACAGTAGGCATATCAACCAGGCAACCTGTGGACTTTTTTTAAAGGTAGTTTTATTCGATTGCAACAAACGCCGTAATTTTTTCAAAGTATTATCATTTTAATAAAATCAGCTTCAAAAAAGTTTTTGTTTATTTTTCTGTCACACCTGCTTTTTAAATAATATGGTTACATATATTTTCTTTATGTGTTTATTTACTTTCTTTATGTGTTTATTTAATTCAATTGTTTATTCTGATGTAAATTTTGTTTGCAAATACATCGAATGACATGGTTTTAAGTAAAGCATGAGCTTCTCAAACATTTATTTTTTCTGCAGAAAATATTTAGTTTCATCTCAAAGCAGCATTCAGTAATAAATTAAACAAAAACTTAATTTAATAGTAATCACATATTTTTCTTAACATTATGTAGTTTGGTTTGATTAAACGTTGAATTTAAGCGTGTGCTTTGTTATGGGTATTCACTTGAATCCAGCCCCCACTTTAGAGTTATCCCGCTTTAAAAATTGTTGAACACTTAATCAATTTCATATAATCTAATAAAAAAAAAAAAATCTGTTTTAAATGTTCTTAATTTATTTTTAAAGTCTGTTTTTTTATATATTTTGACATCTATGTATTTTCGTACAAAAAAACTCCCACTATTATCACTTCTCAGTATACACAGATAATTATAATTACGCGCTGGGATAATTTATGCTAATAATATGAACATAACAAACTAAGAAATGAAAAAGAGTAAATATAAAATAGGTTTAATAAAAAAAGTTAAAATTAAACAAAAAAAGATATGTTAAATATTATTTTACTAAAAAAAAAAAATTTTAGCAAGGTAGGTCATGTAAAATTAAACATATATATATATATATATATATATATATATATATATATATATATATATATATATATATATATATATATATATATATATATATATATATATATATATATATATATATATATATATATATATATATATATATATATATATATATATATATATATATATATATATATATATATAAACATATATATAGATAAACATATATATATATGTTAAATAAATATATATATATATATACTTATATGGAGAGACAAGCTTCGTGTTCGTTCCATTATAGTAACAAGCTTTGCGTTCGTTTTATACAAGAGACAAGCTTCGTGTTCGTGAAGAGACTGTTGAAATAGTCGATGAGTCGTCTATTGATTGAATCGTAATAGAAGGAATTGAATTTATTTGTAGTCCTAAATAAAAACGTTGCTGTAACTCATGGACTTCATCAAGTGTCGTGTTACTCTCTTCAAAAAGATTAATTCCGTTGGCAACTAACTCATTTCGCATTTTTTCAGAGTTTGCATCAAAATCATTCTTACGTTTACTGTTTTTCAAAAGAGGTATATACTCAAATGATCTGCTTCTAGTTCGTTTTAAATACTCTGGTGTGTCAACTTTTTCTTCATAGAGCTTTTCTGAGTTACTAGAAATTTTTCTATAGCTTTTTTTACGTTCTTTTCGAACTTCTAACTGAACGCCATCAAAATAACCGCATTCTAAAGCGTTTTCAAAATGTCTGTTTTCGATTGCATCTAAAGCATCTATTGTACAATCGTTGCTATAACAAGAAGAATCACTTGAACTTAACGAATCTTCACAAAAAAATTGTCGATCATTCTCAAATGATGATTTGCGCGAATTACCCACTGAAATACAGTGGTAGTGAATTGGTGATAAGCTTCCAAACACGTCATAGGAGCTATCGTAATCTTTTGAATACTCCTCAAATTTATCAATTGTTCTATCAGGGCGCGGAAAATTGGGCAACGAACTTTTTCTGCTTTGTTCGCTGATCAACATTTTCTAAAAAGTAAAAGTTAAATTTATTTTTGCGTGTTTTTTCATGTGATGCCTTCAAATAAAAAAATAGATCTAATTATAAACTTTTTAAATCTAGACAGTTGGTAAGTGTATTTGATAGAGTGCGTCAGAAAAGTTTTAGGCAACTGCAGTTTAAAATTACATAAAACATTTTCCCAGCAATCATTTAAATTTCTTTAAACTGGCTTTGAATAAGGTGCCGTTCGAAATGAATTTAAAAACACAAATAAAATGGCAACAACACGAGTGTTTGTGTTGTGAAAATCTATATCATTCCTTATCGCACAAATCTTTAACCTTAAATGTATTAGATTTAAAAATTACAAAATTTTTGTATTAACAAATAATATTTATGATTATACTTTAGAATTTCTTGTTAAAAAATATTATTGCATCGTATATATTTTATATTATATGTGTGTATAATCTAATATAAATTAAAATAGTAAAGTAATAAAAAATAAAACAAGATGTTAAATCAAAATGTTTGTTATGATATTTTCGTCAAAATAAATCGCACATATAGGAGACTGGAGCTAGTTGTAGCACATTTTATTAATTATTTTTATTTTCCATAACTTTGATTTAAAACAAATAAAAAGTTAAAGGGTAATAAAATATATTTTAGTGACGTATTAATCAAACATTGATAAATATAATATAAAATTAAGTTATCCCCTAATGTTGAAAATAAAATTTTAAAAAATAATTCATTCATCTCTGGCGCAAGGGATTACATTGAACAGGGTAAGTTACAACACAATTCTTTTATATGAAGTGAAACTTTATTTCGGTCATATTTGCTGAGTTTATGATTACATTACATTATAAACAATATTTGTAAACAACTTCATCTATTATTATATTAAAGCATCTATTATTTTAGAAAAGTGCTTAAACCCAAGTTTATACTATGATTCAACTTTAGTGAATTTTATTCAACTTATTACCGGAAATCAAAAAAATAAAATAATAATTTTTAAATTTTTATTTTATTACTATAAGTTTTTTTTGTCCTTATTGTTATATAATGTAAAAACAATTGGAAAAAGTAACTAGAAAAATATTTTTTAAATGGTACTTTTGCAACTTATTCCTGTTGCAATTAGCTCCGGTTTCCCCTAACTAAATTTTAGTTCAAAATCTAAATGACCATTTTGGTTTATATTAGAATCATATAAGTTTCTAAACGATTGTTTAATTTGTGATATATATTTGAAATTTTTTATTTAATTTATGGTGAAATAATGACTTGTGTTATAAGTTTTTTGAACTGATCTAACTGATATTAAAAGTTCGTTTGGAAAAATACAAACAGAATAAAAGAGCGCAAAACCGGAGAAACACGCAAGCATCGTTGGAGAAATTACATGCACAGTATTAAAAAAACAAACTCACACAAACATATACTTGCGCGTACACTTTGCAACTAATATTAAAAACGCATTCATACATTAATTGATACACAAAAAATGTTATTTAAGTCACAAAAAGCTTTACAAAATGGTTTTTAAAATTGTTTCTTTGTTAAATGGCAGCAAATTAGATTTGAACCTTTACTTAAATAACCATAAAGTTACAAACTTACCAACGCTTTTTTCTTTTATTAGTCTCCTTCAATTATTTACTCCAATACCTCTACTTTTTCAAACATTTTTTAATGCATAGCCTATTTTTCTTTCTTGTGCAAAAAACTGCCGGTAAACAATTTTATATCCACTTTGCTTAAGATGTAAAACGCAACTCTTTTTTTAAAGTTAACATTTAATGTAAGAAAAAACACAAAAACAATATGAATAATTTAATAGATCTCAAAAAGACAAAAAATCTGTTACTAGAAGATTGGATAACGTTAAAAAACGGGAAAAGTCGAGAAATATGGGATGCTTGTAAATAAAGGTAAAGAGGAAATAATTGAAAAACCAGCTGCATTAAAAAGTACTTAATTGAAAAAAATTCTTTTGTCGGTTAATTTTTCTTTACAATCTTTTTAAATCAGTTATTTATATAAAAATTATGAATAGATTTAAAACACATTACAACACAAAAAATATTTTTAAACGATAAAAGCACAAATGTATACAAGTAGAGAGTCACAAACAAATAAAAACGTGAACATTTGCATTTTGAATGCCCCCTTACTCCCTTTATAATAATTATGCTTGATCAAATAATTTTGCTAATTTTAGTTCTGTAATGTTTTTATTTTTTGAATAAAAAACTTTTTGAACTGTAGCAATGGTATAAAAATGAGAAGACAGCATCCGGCGTCTGTCTGAAAGAGCGCTGTAGGGTGAACTTAAAATTTAAAAACCTAAAGTAAAAACAAATGTGTATAAATTAATTCTTGTTGCTACTCTAGAAAAATAGCTTTGTGTGTGTTTGAGATTTTCAGATATAAAACAAACTTTAAACTTTATTATGTTGATAAACTAATAAATAAATAAGCTTTTCAAAAATTGCAATGATTAGAGCCTAAAAACAATAAAAATCCTACAGTCTGCCCTACCCTTCCCGCTCCTCACCTAAAATGTGTCAAAGACCAACTATATTCCTAAAAAAATCAAATATAAGTGGAAAATCGCCTTCATTAGTGGTGGTGGTGGTGGGGGGGGGGGAGTACATACGTCACACACACCCTTTAAATCGCCCATGGTAAAGGCAATAAGTGACTGAGTTTGATAATGCTTTATTTTTCAAATGATTTCAAAATTCATCTCATAATATTGTGATAATAATGATAGTATGGCAAAGCTACAACCTTGTAAAGTTTTAAATCTACTAATTTTAGGGGGTTTCGTGGTTTTCGGTTTTTTGTTGTTTCTACACTCAAATTACTTCAATTAATGTTTACAACAGTTTGTGTTGTAAAACAAAAATAGTCTCTTTTAAACAGTTTTTAACATTTAAAGTATAAAATGCGTTTAAATAAAACGTTTTTTGTTAGTATTAGCAGCTATAAGTAGTGTAAAAACGCAAAGGAGGATCTATAGGGTGGGCAATTGGGGTAATTGCCCCCCACTCACCCACTTTACTTATATCTAATAAATTTTTTTTTTTATTATTCTATAAATTTAACACAGCATGTTGTTTGAAAAAGAAGATATTAATTTAAACAGGGTGTTTAAAAAAGATATGAAATTATAGAAAAATTGGAATATGCATACTTTCGCCCTTTAAAATCTCCGTTCCTCCCTCCCCTAGGCCTAGATCCACCAAAACAAAAACAAAAAAAAAAAAATCACCTCCTTACTAGATGTTCTAGATTCGCCTCTCTTACAAAATTATAAGAAAAAAAATTGATAATAGTTTACAACTTTTTTCCTCCGTCAAAGAAATGGTGAAAATATTTTTCTTGTTAAATTGCTATGCTTTTATCTTTCTCACATTTTTTTTTCATGCAGAAGAAAACATGAAGTTTCCATAACAGATATTTAAAAACTACTTTTTGTTCGCCACCCCAGTAAATCTTAGGCCCAATAAACCGTCAACCAATAGCTCACTATTGGCTCAAGCCTAAAGTTGAAGCCTGACTTGATGCTTAAACGTCCATTATTAAAAATATTACTTAAAAAGCATTGTTTTAAAAAGTATTGCCTTTAGTAAAAAAATAAACTTTTATCAAAATAAAGTAAGTACAAAGTAGTACAAAATACAAAAATATTAAATTTTAACTTAACGATTTAACTTTAACAATGCGAAAAAATCTCTTACAACTTAAAGCTTTATGAGATCTGTAGTTTCATAAATAATCAATTTTATTTAATTTGATAAAAATGCGATTTTCTATAGTTTAGTTTTTGAAATAAAATTGTAACTGGAAAAAATCTGGGGGTTAAAATATCTCCAGATTTTTGTTGGCACAAAGCCTCCTTCAATTCAGCCTATCAAGTAATCAAACCTTTCAGTAGCTCATAAATGTTCGGTAAGAGTATAAAATGACAAAATTAGAACAAAAAAAGTAAAGAAAGTTTGACCACACCTACTATAACGTTCTTGATTTAAAAATAACAGATCAGAAGTAATGATGAATCTAGAATGTTATCAAGTTTTATTATAGAAGGTTTATAAATGTATTAGATTGAGAATCGCGAAAAGCATTTATTTATTTTTATTTACTTTTGGCTTTAGTTTATTAACTTAAGCAATACATTAATAAAATTCATTTCCATTTCAATGCTTTCATGCTTCCAGATGAAATCTTATTTTCGTTTTCCAAATTTTTAAAAAGTAAGACTCAAAATTGAAAATAAATCAAATAATACATCAACAATAATAAACAACAAGGAAGACAGACTATAATTGCTAAAGCATAAACATTCTCAGTAGTTTACGTCACAAGTTTTTTTATTAAGTACAACAATAGTACTAAGAGACAACTGTACAACAATATAGATATTATCTTTTTGGCGCTCTTCAATTTTAAAGCTATCTTTACATCACAAATTAAGATTGCATTTTAAAATCAAGCTAATTTTATTTTATTTTATAATTAATAATTTTGTTTTCTTTTATAACAAAAACTCTTAGCTCTTATATGATAATGTGTCAATATGCTTTTCTTTGATAACGATGTTTGATATGGCAGACATTATTAAGATCTTAATTTTTTTTTTAAAAAAAACTTCACTAATGCAACAAAAACAAAACCTCGCAAGTTAAATAATTTAATTATAATGAATATCTATTATATTATATATCCATCAAAAATTAATTTCTATAACTAATTAAACAAATATAAACATAAAGTATTTTAAATGAATTTCCAAAAAAAATGTTTATAGATATTCATTAGATCTGAATTTTTTTAATATTAATTGTTGTTTTTATTCTAGTTAACAACGATTTTATAAATTGAAGATTCTATTGTACTGTGTTTTCTGATGCAAAATCATAAACCATCGAGCGAGACATTATAACAAAATAATTGGAAACAAAAAAACTAAATAAGATAGTTTAATCTGCTCAAATTTTTATAAGCATTATTATTGATCAGTAAGAAAAAAAACAATAGTTAAAATATTTAACAAACATTTGGTTCTTAAAAATTTAGTGTCCCTAATCAGAGGTAATTCTACAAATAAAATGAAGGGGAGGGGGTTTAATCATTAAGAAGTTCAGACTGGCTCCTTTAAAAAAAAAAATTCACCTGAATGAAATGTGTGAAATACATAGCTACGAAAATGAAAATTCTAAAAAAAAACATGACATTGCTACAAATTCCTTGTAAATAAATAAAATTCCAGGAATAGAGGTTGTCTGTAGTAATGCAGTACCAAATGTATTTTTAATGATAAATAAACCAATAAATTCATGTCTCCAGTCAAAACAGGAGTTGTATCGTCCAAATTAAAAGCAACTAAAATTGTGCCAATATTTAAAACCAATAAATTTAATAAACACTAAAAAATAAAAACTAAAGACCCATCTCGGTAATCCCAACCTTCTCTAAGCTTTTTGAATAAGTAATTGATGTCAAATTGTACGAATATTTAACTCAAAAAAAAAAAGTTCTAAATAAATAACAATTTGGTTTCCAAAAACAATATTTAACTGAATTGCAATTATAGATCTAGTTAATAGTATAAGCGATTCTTTTGATAATTTATCTAAACAAGGTAACCAATTTTAGAGTTTTTGTTGTTATTTTTAAGCTCAAATAACTGCAACTTTTTGCAAAGCATTCATAATCTAAAACATTTTTATTTTTCTTACATCTAAATATATTTTATGTACGCCAATATTACATAAACAAATGTATACTAACACAAAAAACTATTCATAATAGTTAAAAACAATCATCATTATTAGTTTGTAATAAAGGTTAATTCATCCATATCGAACCCATACATTATGTCTATCAATTTAACCTGTAACAAAACATTCTATTTATGCTTAAATACAAATTTGGACTAGACTAATCATATTTTTCAGATAACTTCTTTCAAACTAACACAAATAAATATATAGAGGAGCAACATGAAACTTTACATTGCCCAAAAAAATTAACAAAATTCTAACGGGTCTCTATTTCATAACGTAGCGGCCCCAATGTCAAAGAAGACAACTTTATAAAAGAAATTTTGCATTTTATTCGTTTAAAGAGTCTTCGCTTTTTACTCCCGGAAATGGCTTGAACGTTCACAACCAAATACACTCAATAGGTCTAAAGCTTACTTCTATCTGCATACCTTCTAGTTAGAACTTTAAATATAATGCTAACATGTGTTGCAGATGGTAAACGACCCTTTAGTAAACTAAATATTTTCAAGAACTATTGTAAAGCCACTAAAGGACAAGAATGCTTTTAGGATCTCATGATGATGTTAGTTAAAAATGAAGTAATTATAGTCTATCATATGATGATACAATAACATATTTTACTGATAAAAAAGCGAATACGAATGGTTCAAATAAGCAGTTTTATGTTTTTTTTTAATTTTCATAGAGTGTCTCGTTTAACTCCACTTAAATTATGTTGCGCTTGTGTTATATAAGTCGTATATTTTCAAGAAAAAATGACTGCACATGCTTTTAATTTAAATTTTTATAAAAATCTTACATACTTAAAAGGGCGCCTACTCAACGCTATTCCCATAGCGCCATGAAAACTTCCGGCGGTCCTGACGGGGCTCATACCTATATAACAAAATAATATCCAAAAATATAGAACTCAAAACATTAAATAATTCTCTCAAATGATAAAAAAAACCACTGTATTATTTAACCATTGATGTAAATATATTATTAAAAGCCGCATTTTATTCATTTGAGGTAATTGATGATAAAACTCCAACTCTACTATGAGTTTTCATTACGGCAACGCAATTATATTTTTAGAAACATAATTATTTTTGAAAGAAATAATGTTATTTTTTATGATAAGAAATATGCTATTTTTATTCATTATATTATTTATTGCAATATATATGTTGTATATATTGCATTATTTATTATAAGAACATGCGAAAACATAAATTATTTGTAGCTAACCATTTTATGGCAAAAAAGGAATCAATTAAATACCTTTTGAGTACCACTTCAAAGAAAAGGGTTTGAACTTTAAAAATATTCAATCACAAAGTGAAACCTTTGCTAAAGCCGAAAAAAAGTGTAGCCACAATACTGTTTGACAGATGTTAAGGAATATGAAGGTCTACACTTCACTATAAACGAAACGATTTTACACTATAAACAAAAAATAAATTACTGACAAAACTGGAACAGAAAACCAAAAATGAATTATATTGTTTAAATAATAGGACTAAGACACTCGTTGATGTCAAGCATAACGAAAGAGCAAAATATGAGTTAAACTTGTATGGGGTTGCTATTTAACAAAAAGCTGTGAATAGAATTAACGATATATATATATATATATATATATATATATATATATATATATATATATATATATATATATATATATATATATTTATTTATATACATATATATATATATATATATATATATATATATATATATATATATATATATATATATATATATATATATATATATATATATATATATATATATATATATATATAAATATATACTAGGGACGCCCACTTTGCAAATCTTTAAAAAATAAAAAATAACAGTAAGGTGTACGTCCGCATTGAAATATCCGTGTTCTAAGTAACCTAGAACAAGGACACTAAGGACTAAGTTGATACTCGTTTGACTTTCTGTTACATTTTTTGTTTAAATGAGTATTTTTTTTTAATTAAGTTATTAAAGAAAACAGAAGTGAGTCGATTTTTATTTGACAAAATTTAATCTTTTTTTAGTTTTTTTCTTCGACGTTTTTCGTACGCTTTTTTTCAATAATAAAATTTTTTGAAATTTTTTTGCAAAATAAAACCCGAGAAGTCAATTTGCGCGGTAGGTACTCTTTGTTTCGCACCTTAACAACTTATACCGAAGTTTTATTTACAGCATATACTCGTTACTGGTGCAAAATTACACAATATAATTGTTCATAGTTTATTTGAAATAAAAATAATACTATTTAATTTTTAATTGAAAATAAAATAAAAGTATATTTATAATACTTAGAGCATAATGTTTTCTAAAAAAATTTCATAAATTGATGCGAAATTAAAAAAGAAAACAAACAACAAAACATAAATGTATCTGCAACGACTGCATGAATTATTGCACAAACATCATCAGATATACTATTTATATTATCAGACTCGTTAATTTAGGTACTTATTGTTTTAAAAATTCTATTAGAACGTCACCTTTTCTACAGTCTAGCCACCTTTGTTATCAACATCAATAGATTACAAGGTAAAAAAAATTACATATTCTTTTTAAATTTGTTTTTTGAAATTCGGTTTCACAGATGGTTGATCATCAAAAATAGTTTTTAAACTTACGCTCTTAATATTTATGCTTGTTTTTATTCATTGTCGCGTTTTCTGTCTTTTCCAAGATCATGCAGGTCATAGAAACCATCCAGGTTATTGAAGTCTAAATTATCCAAGTCATAGTTTGCAGGACGGCAAAGTATAACATCATCATAAGGTTTTAATTTTTGTCAAAATATAAAACTTATTTTCTAGTTATGTCAACTTTTTGGTAAATGTTTATAAATTTAGGTTCCGAATAAAAATGACCAGATTTTATTTCCAAACATTACTTGTGTAAAAAGCTATACATGAATTTTTATTTTAGAAACATCTTTTTTGATCTCATAAGTCACAAAACACTGTAATTATGATTCTTTTCTTAATGAATGAGATTAAGATTTTCAGGGGAGGATCAAGATATGAAACAAATTTTAAACATTTATATGTTTATTATTATGTCAAAAAAGGTTTTCAAAAAATTGCAAATAGTAAAAATTATATCAACTTGTTGCTTTCATGTTTGAGGCAGCTGTGGCCAAAATTTCTTTTTTCATTTTTAATTCCTCATGAAAGTTCAAACACTGTTGCTTCAAAAAACTTGGTGTTTTAAACTCCTTTCATTTATTGTTATTTGCACTTTATTACTAAAGTCTAAAACACAGTGAAATGGTAGATAATATTTACTTATTCATTATTAATTATTATATATTTCATCATTTCTTATGTGTAAATGCGCGAGTAAAAAAATACCAGGTTTTGTATAACTAATCTCAGGTTTTGTATAACTAATCTCATTTTATTATTATTATTACTATCATTTTATAAATACAGATAAACTAGCAGGTAAATACCTGTACCAAAAACTATTTCGTAACTTTTTGCTACTTTTTAAATTTCTGATAATGTAAAAAGTAATTTGTATCTAGGTTTTTTAATTACGATGTTTTTTTTCTTTATATATAACAGTCAGCTTATCTTTTCTCGATTAAATTTATCTCATCTGGATAGATGTTGCTGTGTTCTCTTGTGTTTTTATTTGTTGATTACATCACGCACTAAAAACATTTAACTTAATTTGCAGTTATTATCTTTTTATTTTCTACAATTTTCTACAATTTTTCTCTATTATTTTCTACAACTGTAACACTTCTTGTCTCTAGTAAGGTAGTATACATAATTCTAAAGTCTAAAAATTTTGAACAAAATCTTTTCAAAAGGTTTCATTTTTTAAAACAATTTAATTGTATTTGTACCATTTAAAGTAAACATAAGTGTCTAACTCTAGATAAACAGATTATTTTTTCGATAAACAGGCTATTGTTTAGTTAGATAGACTATTGACTTGGTAGATAGACTATGGTCTTGGTAGATAGACAAAGGTCTGGGTATATAGACGATTGTCTAGGTAGATTGACTATTATTTAGATAGATAGGTTATTGTCTAACTCTATCTATTGTAAACATAAAATAGTCATTGTATAAGGGTAATGTTGACCATTAGTGTGACACAAAGTTAGCAAGCAAACAAACGTGAAAAATGTGTTAAAAGCGATCAAGTGTGACCCAAAGTTAGCAAAAAAAAAAACAAAAAAAAAAACAAAGCACGTTTGAACTTGCTCTTGAACTATCAATAGAATAATTAAAATAAAAAATAAACAATAAAAGATTCAAAACAAAAGAAAAACAATTTAAATCAAACTTTTTATGCTCTTGAGCAAGGGAGGTGCCGAAGGTGAAGTGATCTGCCGAGGAAATAAAAAGGTTTGTAATTCAAATACCGCAAAAATACTGCTTAATCCAACAAAGTGTTTCAAAAGTCGGTAGTTTTTAGTAATTATTTAATTTTTGAGAATACCAAAACCAAATGTTTAAGTATCTGAATGACAAATATAAAGGTTTGTACAACATTATTCTAAGGTGCTTAATACACGGAAAGGGATATTTAATAATTTTGAACTTTTTCCACACCAAACCCAAGCTTATTAAGATCCCCCACCTCCCCCGTTTAATCATTTTAAATTATTATAAACAAAAAAATATCTCAAAAATAAAAATAAATAATTTAGAATATATATGTTTACATATTTATATATGTATCTAGCCGACCCCTCCCTCCCCGAGAGTACCTCATCTCCTCCCCGACCTTTTAAAAAGCAAGAGCTCTAGAGAGTAAAACAAAAAGTAAAATTTGTCGCCAAACAGAAAATAATACATAATTTATAAATATAATTGAAATAAACAAAACCTGTTATAACTTAAAACTTTCCCATAGGGATCAATCTTAGGACTAATGTATTTTTATTGTAAATAAATAGTTTATACTGAAGTATATTGTACACTAAAAAAATTTAACAATAAGCAAAACATGGTTGTAGAAGTTTGGTTGAATTAGAATTTTCTTGTAGAAGTTTAGTGGACACAAAAAAATATTCATCGCAAAAAAAAAGTTTAATGGAACTGAGAGCTTTAATTCTATATAAACTTAATATACAGCAGGTTTTACTGTTCATTTTAAAACACAGCGTAGATCATCTTGAAATACATTTCGGACATACTTTAATCAACTTTCTCAACAATACTCAACTTTGATGTTTAAATAATGACAAAAGATTTTCTTAATTCAAAAAAGCTAGAAGTATTTATATATAATATAAAGGTTTAAAATATTCTTTTGGAAATAAACGTATAAATATCATTAATAAACTAAAAACAGTTGATATTGACACATTTTGTTAACAAAATGTCTAACGTATACTTACATAATTACTTATTATTGAGAGGCGTTCAAACTTTATATGGTCATAACTTTTAAACGTTAAGATGTTTTTGTATGAAATTTAAAATTTATAGATAAATGTAAATTTAGAGAATAATAAAAAAAAAATACAATTTAGTGCAAAGCACCCTTATTTGACGTAAGTATAAATAAATAAATGTTTGGCGTTCCTCTATGTCTTTTTCTTCATATCTTGAAGTCAGCTATATCTAGTGCTGGAGGCGTTCCGAGGAGGGCTAGATTTGTCTAGCCCCTTTACTAAATTTATTAGAAAGCAAATCGGACATTGGAGTCGGCAAAATTGGATCTAAAGATGGTAGTGAGCAAATGTTAGTCAAAAAGGACCTTTTTTTGTTCTTTTCGATCTTAGTCAGCAAAAAGAATTTTTAAGGTCTTACTTAACAAAAATCAGATACTTCAGTATCTGATTTTTGCCTAGTAAGACCTTGAAAACCGCCCTAGACAGGGCCGTACCTCCTCCTCTTTTAAGATCTCGTCGGTACACGGCCCTGTCTAGGGCGGTTGTATCGTAATTTGATCTTTTATTGTGTAGCAATTCATTTTTATTTATGTCAAAAAGTTTTTATACATTTAATATTGATGTAAACTTACTCTAATATTTTGCTTATATATATATATGTATATATATATATATATATATATATATATATATATATATATATATATATATATATATATATATATATATATATATATATATATAAATATATATATATATATAAATATATATACATATATATACATAAATATATATATATACATATATATATATATATATATATATATATATATATATATATATATATATATATATATATATATATATATATATATATATATATATATATATATATATATATATATATATATTAATGAATATATATATATATATATATATATATATATATATATATATATATATATATATGTATATATATGTATATATATATATATATATATATATATATATATATATATATATATATATATATATATATATATATTTGTGCATATATAATAACATGATTTGTCAGGTAATTTAAGATAATCACTTAGTAGTAGAATATAAAACATTAGTACTTTAATATCCTTTTTTAATTTTAGTTATTTTGTGTTTGAGTTAAAAAATCTCACCTTTTTATTTTCCGAATTTCAAAATGAGCTTGTAAAGTAAAAAACTTTTGAAAAAAAAAAAAGCTTTAATGAAACCACATAAGAGTTTAATATCTTGAGTATAAGCACTTACTGCAATTTAGTAGTTCTCTCAGTCATGTGATAACAAGCGTGTCTTATGAATTTTTAATTATATAAACCAGTGTGCATAAAATTAATTAATGTTAAATTGGCGACCATTGAAGGTATGGTATGAGTACAAAGTTGTTAATTATGTATATCTGTGCAACAAACAGTAGCTCTCAAATAAATGAAACAAAAAGCAAAATAAATGAAACAAGATAAGCAAATCATTCAAGCTGTTTAAACAGATAATACCCTCAGTAGTTAATTATTTTTTTATTTGTTTTTATTTATAAATTTTATAAATTTTACTTTGCAACTTTAACAACTTCCAACTTTACAACTTAAAACTTTATAAGTTTCATTTTTTAAATCTTCATCAATTATTTTGTAGCTGTAAAAATGAATAACTTTAACCAATAATAACTGTTATTGTTGCCACATAGGGGTTAATAAAATATGGCATAGTTTTTCAATAAGGTTAAGGGTTCAATTTTTCATTAAGTTGAAGAACTTTGTTAAAGTTGTTCCCAAAAAAAAAAAAATCTAAACAAATAATAGCACCCAAACTAGTACCCACGCTACTTATTTAACTTGTTCAACCAAAACGCTTACAGAATTCCAAAATTAGTATTAGCTGTTATATTTGTTTTTCAACTTGATTTAATTTCCGAGATGTTTAGTTTTATTAATTTGTTTAATTATCAGTTACAGAACCCTCTGCGTCACGCAGATTCCTCTGCGTGAAAAAGAAATGTTACGCAGCAATGTGTTATAACAACTTAAAATGTTTAAACCACAAAATTACAGCTATTTAGTTCATGACTAAAGACAATCAAATAAAAAAAAGTATAAAAACATTGAAATACTCTTTTGATAAAGAAGTTTGAGGATCCGACTCGAATTTGCAAGCAAAGTTTCAACTTATTTTTCAAAATTAAATAAAAAAGGACAAACTACAAAACAAAAAATATAAAAATCTTTACCCAAGCGTCCCAATACCGCCACGTGTTTATGGTGTATTTAAACCTTACAAAAAAAAAAATATAACAAACTTTAGGAACTGTTGTGAATGACGTCTTCCAAGCTTCTAGAAAACAATTTTGCTAGCCAAGAACCAAGAGGCCGTATGTCCACCTTTTGAGTTTGTTCTGTTTATTATCAATAAATATGCAACAACCCTGTCACCAATCACCAATCATGTCCCGAATAAATTTAATCTCATGAATAATACAACTTACTAAAATATTTTAAAAATTAGTCGGACACACTGGCAAAAAGTCTTTACAAATAAAATATTAAAACTTGATTTTCTCGGAAACACAAAAAATGGACATACGGCCTTTTGGTTCTACGCTGACGAATTAACGGTTGTCTTTGAATAATGAACTTATAATGAACTAATAATGATGTGATCATTTGATAGGTTTTGGAAATTGCATTACCTCTTTTACAGTTTATTTAAAGAGTATTGATATAATATGTTGTGGTTGCGAATTTTTATATATACTGCGATTGATATTTGTATTGATATAATAATATGCAGCCAGATGATTATAAAATAACAATCAATAAACGAGTGAAATCATAAGTGTCTTAATGAAACTTATAAGAATTTCCCACACTAAACGGTGGCGACCTAGACCAGGACATAAAAGAAACCTACGAATAAGCAAAAATTGAACCAGAGAACATTTATCAGAGAGGGAACAATATAATAAAAATAAACATTAAAAGTATAAAAAGAAACGCGAAAACCAGGAAAATGTTGGACGACGGTGATAACATTGATTTGATAGAAGAATGGCTCTCAAAACAAGTGAAAGTTGAAGCGGCAATTAAAATTAAAAACAAAATGTTGGATGAATTGGAACCTATAAATAAAAAATCGTCAAAAAATGGGAGTTTGAAAAACAAATGACGGGAGAAGCTACATTGCGGATAACTCTTGGAAATGAAAACGAAACTACGCAGCAATCTGTCAAGCTTCAAAAGTTTACGATTACAAAAATTAATGGCTACTATAAAGACTGGTTTAAAATTTTAGATCAATTTACAGTGGAATTTGAAAACTAAAAT